TCATGTTTTGCCTCTGGTCTTTGTCATCTCTAGGAATCTTTGCCACCTTCTCATAGCTCTGGATTCTTGGGCCCCAAGCCTGAGGTCCCAGGCCCTCAGGGGGAATCCAGAGATACAGGCACAGAGGCTCTGACTCCTCACATCTGGAACCGTTTGCATAGTGGTGAGTAAAGCTGAGGGAAGGGAGAGGCTGATGGAGGGGTGAAAGAGTGAGATGGGCTTCAGAACTGTTTTCTCTCACTTCCTGTATCCTGGTCGGTGCTCCCCTCTCCAGCCACTAGCCGAAAAAATTACCGGCCTGGATCCATGGAGCCCTGGATGGAGCCCCTGAGTCCTTTTGAGGATGTGGCTGGCACAGAGGTGAGTGAGCATGGGAGGGACGCGTGAGCTGGGAGTTGGTTGAGAACTGGCTGTAACTGTCCCTGCCTGTTGGGTCACGTCGGGCTGTTCTCCTACACAGCGGCCTCTTCAGTTTGTCTGTCTGCGTGTGGGAATCAGTCAGGAATTGGGGTGCTTTCTACCCTGGCTTAACCGGCTCCTTCTCCACTCCTCTCAGATGAGTCAGTCTGACAGTGGGGTGGACCTGAGTGGGGATTCTCAGGTGTCATCAGGTCCCTGCAGCCAGCGAAGCTCCCCTGATGGAGGACTCAAGGGGGCAGCAGAGGGACCCCCCAAGCGGCCCGGAGGCCCCTCACCCCTGAATGCTGTTCCTGGTGAGGGTCCACCTGGCTCTGAACCCTCTGAACCTCCTAGGAGACGGCCACCTGCCCCCCACGATGGGGACAGAAAGGTAAAAGACCAGGAAAGGTTAAGAGGAACATTTCTAAGCACCTGCTTGTCCTCCCTTTGCCCCTTTCCTCTGCCTCTGCTCTGGGGATTCCTTGATGTCGGATCACCTCTCCTTTCTCCATCCCTACTTTATTATGTTCCCTATCCCAGGAGCTGCCCCGGGAGCAGCCTCTGCCCCCTGGCCCCATTGGCACAGAACGATCTCAGCGTACAGACCGAGGCCCGGAGCCTGGCCCTCTCCGGCCATCCCATCGACCTGGCCCCCCAGTCCAGTTTGGCACTAGTGACAAGGTATGCTGTGGGCTGGATCTGGGGGTCCTGGGCTGGGTGGAGAGAAGGGAAGGGCTGGAGGGAGGACTTGAAGCTCATCTGAGTCCTGGGGCAATCTTCATGCCTCATGACCACAGGATGCAGACTTGCGCCTAGCGGTGAGAGACAGTTTAAGAGCAGAGAAGGAGCGAACCACATCCGTCACTGAGGTGAGTGTGAGAGTGAGAGTTCAACAAGGCTCGAGATTACTGGTGAAGATAGCCGGGAGTGGCCTGGGCTTCCAGGATGCCAGATATCTCCCTTAGCAAGGCCTCTCCTTTCCAGGCCATTCCAATATCCCGAGACTGGGAGCTTCTCCCCAGTACTTCTGCCTCGGCTGAGCCACAATCCAAGAACCTGGTTTCTGGGCACTGTGGCCCAGAGCCCAGCTCCTCAGGCCAACGTCTGTACCCTGAGGTCTTCTACGGCAGCCCCGGGCCTCCCAGCTCTCAGGTGGGCCTCACTTCCCATCCTGTGACCCCCTGAATGAAGAGTCCTGCTTTCTGCCTGCTAAGCCTTCCTGTGTTGGGAAGTTTCCAGACCGCTTGTTTTTCTTTTTCTTACTCCAGTTTTCCCCTTGCTTTCACTGCAGTGGGTGGGAAGTGCTAGGTTTCCAGACCGGAGGAACTGGGGCTGTGGGGCTATTGCAGCCATGCTCTTTTGTCCCACAGGTCTCTGGCGGAGCCATGGACTCTCAGTTACATCCCAACAATGGCGGCTTCCGCCCAGGGACCCCCTCTGTGCACCCTTACAGGTGAGATGAGATCTCTTGGGCCTCAGAAGGGAATGGAGATAGTTCAGGGGAAAGGGAAGCCAGAGTGACACATCGCGGCATTACTCAGACTAGAGGAGTAAATGACTGGTTTCCTAACGTCTCTGTTCACCTTCATTCCTTCTAGATCACAGCCCCTGTACCTACCCCCGGGCCCAGCCCCTCCCTCGGCACTTCTCTCTGGGGTAGCTCTCAAGGGCCAGTTTCTGGATTTCTCAGCACTGCAAGCAACAGAGCTGGGCAAGTTGCCAGCTGGAGGAGTTCTCTACCCACCACCCTCCTTCCTCTACTCTCCAGCGTTCTGCCCCAGCCCCCTGCCCGACCCACCCTTGCTTCAGGTAAGAGGTGGGCAGGTGCTGCTAGGGGTAGCAGTTAGGGGTGAGGGAGAGTACTCTGGGAGGAGGAGGAGGAGTTGCTATTTCTGCGCATTCCTCAATAGGTGCGCCAGGATCTGCCATCCCCTTCGGATTTTTACTCTCCTCTGCAGCCCGGCGGCCAGAGTGGCTTCCTTCCTTCAGGGGCCCCTGCCCAGCAGGTACCTCTTCTCTTCCCGTCCTCCCTTCATCCTGCTTCTCACTTTGTTGTGATTACCCTTGGTTTTCCAGCGTTTCTCGCCTTCCCCAACACGCACGCCCAAATGTATTACAGATGCTTCTACCCATGGTAGACTCTCAGCTGCCTGTGGTGAACTTCGGCTCCCTGCCGCCAGCGCCACCTCCTGCCCCACCTCCCCTTTCTCTGTTACCTGTGGGTCCTGCTCTGCAGCCCCCCAGTCTAGCTGTGCGGCCCCCACCTGCTCCTGCTACTCGGGTGCTGCCTTCACCTGCCAGGCCTTTCCCCGCTAGCTTGGGGCGAGCAGAGGTAAGGTACATGAATCACGGTGCCAGGGAACTCCACAAGTTACGGATAGGGATCTCGAGACAGACGGGTTAGAAGCAGGGCCGTCACGAATTTTTCTCCTTCAGCTGCACCCAGTGGAACTAAAGCCGTTCCAGGATTATCGAAAACTGAGCAGCAACCTTGGACCTGGGTCCTCACGTCCTCCCCCAGCTGGAAGGTAAGAGGATGGGCATGCAGGGCCTCCCTCCCCGCGGGCTTTCCACCTGGGGCCAGAGGTCAGGTCCTAGGCTTGCCGTAAACACTCGTCTGCCCTTAGGTCCTTCTCGGGTCTCAATTCCCGTCTCAAGGCCCCGCCTTCCACCTACAGCGGAGTATTCCGCACCCAGCGCATCGACCTCTACCAGCAGGTGAAGAAAAGACCCATGTGGCCCCAAGTTCTGCCTGACTTCCTGTCCTTCCATCCCTGGCACCTCCCACTAAGCCTTACTCTCCACACCTACTGTCCCTTAGGCCTCCCCACCGGATGCTCTGCGCTGGATGCCGAAGCCTTGGGAGCGGACAGGGCCACCTTCTCGAGAAGGGCCTTCCCGAAGGACAGAGGAGCCTGGGTCCCGAGGGGACAAGGAGCCTGGGCTGCCCCCACCCCACTGAGGGAGTTCCCCTTGCCCCCCACCCCCGGGGCTTGTATATAGATTATAAATATATAAAGGGGAAAGGGGTGGGTGTGGAGGGGTTGTGGGGCTGGTGCCTCGCTTCCCCTCCTCCCCCTTCCCCTGGTCCCCTATCCCTGGGGCCGTTTGTTAAAAAATAATAATAAAAGGATTAAAAAAAAATCCCAGGAGCAGTTGTGGGGAGGGATGGGTGGGTTGGTGTCTTACAGCATGGTGTTGACATGTATGGGAATTCAGTCAGAACTGTTAGTCAAGTGTCCTTTCAGATTACCTCAAAAATGTGACCATGTTACTGGATCTTCAAGTTCTGTAGGTTGGCGGTTTGGGCTGGGGCTTACCTGGGCCCATCTTCTTGGGCCAGTTGGGAAGTCAGGTGGTTGCCCGAATGCAGCTGATAGCTGGGCTGGCCCTAGTATGGCTTCCTTCACATGTCATGTGGGGTCTTGGTGAAAGGTGGAACCCCTTCAGACTGTCAGCCATTGTCCCCAGATGGCTCCTGTAGTGGGGTGTTAGCAGGACTTGCAGATAGAACTTGCAGAGCCGGTGTCTTGACCTTCAGATGGGATGTCACATTGTTGGTCCTGCAGTAAGCTAGTTAGAATGGATGGGAGAGAGCATAACTGCAGTTGATGACAGCAAAGTTGGCCGCCATGCCTCTGGTCCCACTGACAAAACTGAGAAGTCCTGTTCATAGCTGTTCTGAGCCTTGGCAGACTGTTTAAGTGTCATCAGAAATGGCTGGATTTCATGGGAATCCCAGTTAGCAGGCTAAGATACTAAGGTCTGGAGCTGCTTAGAAATTGAAAAGCATTTTCTGTTCTAGCATGTACTTGGGATACATGTCTCCCATCTCTGAACTCCTTACATGAACACATGTGTGTGTACAAAAAATGCATGTGGGATTATTCAGGGGTAGCCACTGTGAAGCTAAGGATCCCCACACGCTGGGATGGACTTGCACCTCTAGTTCCTACCCAGCTTCAAGGGATGCAGCAGGTGGTGGCCCAAGTCCTTGGGTTCCTGCCACCCATCTCTGGAAACCTACATAGAGCTGGTTTTGGCTTGGCACAGCTCTGGCTGTTCCAGGCATTTGTTCAGTGAACCAGTGGATGAGAGATCTCTCCCTGTCTGCCTTTCAAATAAACTATTAAATGCTTTTGCATAAAAATGTTCTATCAGTGTTGTGATGCATAAACATAACAATAGTGCACATATGTTCATGGAGGACTTGACTGGCATAGTTGGGTTCTTAGGGAGTAGTACTCTCTAAGAAAGTACTTGTATTTGGAAAGCAGAAATCCTTCAGCTGCTGGTTCACTCCCCAAATGCCTGCAACAGGCAAGACTGGGCCAGAATAAAACCCAGGAGCCCAGAACTCCATGCAAGTACCCTGTGTGGGTGGCCAATGGAACCATCTGCTGCCTACCAGGGCGTGCTTTTAACGGGAAGGAAGCTGGATCAGGAGTGGGGCGCCAGGACTCAAACCAGGCACTCCAATGCGGGATGCAGGCAGTCCAAGTGGAGTTAGCCTCTGTCAAATGCCTACCCAGGGAAATATGAGAATATTCAAATTGAGGGACTCAAAAAGTGCTTAATGAAGACAATTTAAAGACAAGAGAGCCAGGAAAATCCGACTTTTATTTCTTAAATACTGTGAAGGAAGAGGGGGGAGATGGTCCCCTGGTAAGGAAGGGCCACAGAGCAAAGAGCTAGGGATCATCGGCAAAGGCCCGATGGGCATTAGGGAAGCGCTGGGGGCTGTAGTTGGGGTCTTCCTGAAGCTGTTTTTGTATGTCAGACCGGAGCTAGAGAGAGAAACAAGTAGGTTGGAGAAGCACTTGTCAAGGCTCCTCTGATCCCAACAAGCAGAGGAGGCCATCCCTCAGGAGTGAACGCTTCCCCCCCAGCAGCCCCCCACCCCCATCCCAACACATACACTGTCCAATGTGGCATTGCTGAGCGTTCTCAGATGCCACGGGTGGGGTGGGGGGAATGCTTTTGACCAGTTGTCTAAAGGGGGCCAGGGGGAGAGGGGCCCTATCCCAACCCCTCCCACGGGACCATCCCTATTCTGCTTCGAGGTGGGGGCACCTGCTGCCTGTAGCTCTCCTGAACCTCTGGTGCCTCCAGGTCCCGGCTCAGGCTCTCGGGGCTCGTCAGGGGCCGAGCTCCGGCTGCCTTAGCTGCCCGGCTCACAGCTTCTGAGAGAAGCAGCTGGGGGCCCTCACCCTGCATCGTCTGGTGGACAGGGAGTTGGGAGGGAAAAGAGGATCACCGTCAGATCCAGTGCCGCCACCCAGCACACCCTTCCAGGAGTCAACCACTGAGTCTGCACACTAGCAGAGAGAAGGGAAGCAGCACACATGCGGTCTGGACAACACAAATGCCCAATTATGTTGGGCTCTGGTTAAAGGGTTTGAATGTGCTGAACTTGCTCTTCAAAACAAAAGGGGCAGAATGGGTCAAGCCATCTGGAGTTTAGAACTAGTTAGGCTGCAAAAGGAAGCCATCTTAAAGAAAAGTGGGCACTAGTCACACAGTACAATTAGAGACCAAGACAAGACTACCAGCAAACTAAGGCCAAGTCCTGTGTGGTTTTATGCAACAACTATGAGCAAGAAAATGAGTCCCAAAGGTTTCCCGAACTAGAAGAGCCCCTTCCAACTCTAGTTTGATTTTAAACATGAGAGGGGAACTTGGACAAAGATCCTCAGGGAAGAGGTTAACCGACCTTGCGTCTCTTGGCAGGCATACCACTGAGGTAGGCGTCGCTCAGGGGGGGCTGCGGCTTCACCTTCCGCTGGCTCTGAATGTCCTGCTGGATGATAGGAACCCATTCCTGGGAAAGGAAACATCCAAAAGTAGTAACTCCCACAACTCCCAGTGGCCTCAGCTCCCTGGATCACCTCCCAGCACTTACTGGGGGCACAGCAGCGGCCCAGGGTTCTGTCTCGGCTGAGGCTCCATCCTGTTCATCCTGGGAGCCCCCCTCAGGGGCAGGGGGCGGACCTCGGGACATGGCCTCTTCTGCTGTAGTTCCAGGAGCAGGGGAGGCATTCTCCCGCTGGCAGTCAGACGGTGGGAGGAGGCAGGTTTCAGAACTGAGACCCAGCCCTGCCCTCTCAGCCCCCCAGTTCCCATCATCTGGCCTCTCCACCCCTCCCTGTTACCTGAGGCTCTGGGGACGTTCTTTCTGCTCCTTGAACTTCCATGGGCTCCTCAGGCAGTGGCTGTGAGGTTGGAGAACACCGACAGGCCCTCTTAGACCCCGCCGGCCCCCTCAGGCGCCCTGGTCCCAGAGCCCGCCGTGTCCCTTACCTGAGGGGGATCACCAACCCTGCGGACGTATCTGAGGATGGCATCGGGGCCCACGGGCATGTGCTCCAGCACCACCTGAAGCCGCAGGCCCATCATGGTCGTCAGCCAGCTCACCAGTGACGGATTCACTCCACGTGACATGCGGCGCTGAGGGGCAGAAAACAGACTGGGAAGACAAAACCCTCAGCCGGCTTTTAAAATACATCAGATCTAGGGTACAGGATAGTACTTGGGAGAAGAAAAATGAGGAGCAAGGAGACCTCAAGAAACAAATGGCTGGGGAGCTGGGGTGGGATGGTGCTTACAATTCGGCCATTGATGACAGCAGCCAGCTCCATCTGCTGTCCCCCCAAGCAGTGCAGGTTCAGGGCCAGGCACTCAAACAGGCCTTGGTTACACAACTCCAGCAGCCGGGCCCCAAATCCACTGTCTGCAGGCAAGATATAAGGAGAGAATGCTGGCACCTGGCAGCTCTGCACACCCGCTACATACCATGCACCCACACCTAGCCAGCCCCTGCCTGGCCAGGCCCTGACCTGTGCAGTGCAGCACATGAGCAGCAATGCTATTAAATTGCTCTTGAAGAAATTCCAGGTTTGTCCGGATGATGTCCACACCAGGCTGAACCTGCACCAAAGACTGCGGGACAAGACAAAGACCCCAGATCAGGAACCCTGAAAGATCGGAAGTGGAGAAGGCACTACGGACATCAGCTGTCTGGACCAGACCCAAGGAGAGGAAGGCAATACAGAAGGGTCACTCACAAAACTCTCCCGCACGTATTCCTCTAGCCCTGTGATCAATGTGTGTGTCGCCATCTACGGGGAGAACAGCAGAGGTCAGGCCCAAGCCTCAGTCTCAGGAGACTTCCTTCTCTACCCCTCCCCCCTCCACAGGTCCATGTCTAGGGCTGGCGCAGTCAACGGCGTAAGCTGATACATGAACAGGGTCAGAAACAAGGTACTGAAGGGGGAAGGGGGAGGCTTCTAAGGCTCCGGGCCTTCATTTACCCGGATGTTACCAGGTGTGGGCTCCTGGCCACCCAGGTAGTGCTGGTGGAAGAAGGATCGCAGCTGGGGCTGGAGCCGCTGCAGTGGCTGGAAATGCCCATGGAGAAGCATTACCACGTCCACCATGGAGAAATTCTGGCACAGAAGAGAGAGGAGAGCCCCAAAGAATCCTGCGGACAGGGGCGAAAGTTAGCAAAGGCCTTTACCCCCAGCCAGCCCATCGGCCTCATCCCATCTTGGCAACCTCCCTAAACAAAAGCCATCTACCTAGCCCCGGCTGTCCCTTCCCTGGCTATCCCCTCCTAGAGAAGACCAAGGCTCCCGCTGTTGCTCACCGAGGGCTCCATCAGCCCCAGGCTCAAAGATGTTGCTGGAGCCACTGAGGCGCTGGATGAAGGCGGCAATACTTTCACTGCTGCCAGCGCGAGCTCCCAAAGAGCCGAGCAGAGAGCTCAGCACGCCTTGTACCACGGAGGTGAAGAACTCCGGGGAGAGGCTCTCAGGACTCAGGCCTCCAGGACTCCCTGTGCCACCAGAAGGGGACCCTGGTGGGGCCGTGCTCTGCTGCTCTGGGGCAGGGGGTGGGGGTGGAGGTGGTGGAGGGGGTGGAGGGGCCGCCTGTGTTGCCTGGGAAAGAGAGAATAAAGATGATGAAGTGAGACCTGAGAGTAAGGACAGACACCGACACGGTCTGGGGAGACAGGGGGCCGTATTCTAAACCTTACTCCTTAGGAAAGAACACTCGTGGCAAGGGAGTCCACAGCAGAGCTGGCCTAAGCAACTCCTCTCTCACTGTATGGTTTAGACCAGAGAGCAGGACACTAGCCACTACAGCGTCTCTCTCTCTTCTCTAAAGCCTTATTTCCCTCATCTCCAAAATGGGAGCAGTTCAGTCAATAAAGTCCCGGCTCCCTTCTCTGGCCACAAAACTGCAGGCAATGGCCCAACAGCTACCTAATAGCAACACAGCCCCACTGCCTGGCTAGGCTGGGGCACGGGACGGGTGAGGAGAAAGGCAAGCCAGCCACTCACCTGCAAGAAGTCACTCATGCCCTGGAGAAAGGCAGGGACGCCGGGCATTGCCACGGTGATGGTGGGAGAAGCCACGCCAGGCCCTCCAGATCCTGGCCCTGCAGGCCCCAGCAAATTCCCCAGAAGCTGAGAGAACTGCAGATCAGCTGCAGGAGGCTGAGGGGGTGGAGGCTGGGCAGGCCCCCCGGGGGCAGGGCCAGCTGTGGTAGCTGTGTTGGTGGTGCCAGCACTGGCTGAAGCAGTGGCAGGAGCTGGAGGTGGAGCCATTCCTGGGGTCCCCTGAGCTGTAAGGAATCAAAGGCAAAACGAAATCTGAAGAAAATTCAGACATCACAGCAGCCTCATTAGGTGTTAACAGGACAGTGAGAACCAAGAGAACATGAGAAGAAATGGAAAACAGCAGTTCACACGGACAGTGTCGGGCTTTGGAATCACGGCGATCTCTGAAGTGTGGGGTGTGGAAGAGCGAGGACTCACCCACAAGCACAGGCTGCATGAGAAGCTGCCCCACAAGGCCGCTCACCATCTGGGCCAATGAGGCGTTGGTACCCAGTCCAGCACCCTGCTGGGGAGAGAAGTGGGGAGATTTTTATCCCTACCTTTCCCACATACCAGTTTGGGGTTCTTTCCCCTAACTTTTCCCCACTGGAACAACTCCCCTACCCTTGCTCACCAGAGCCCCGGAGACTGGAGGCCCCCCAGGATGGGAAGGCCGAGCCTGTGGAGGAGTTGGCCGGGCAATCACCACCCGGGTTGGAGCTGTTGGGAAGCCTGGGACCTGCTGTCCTGTGGGGGGCAGAAGAGAGAGACCGGAGAGAGCTGAGGGCTGGGCCCTTGGCCACTAGCTGACAGCACCCGCCACCATGGACTATGCCCCACCTCCCAGGCCTCCCCTTCCAGGTCATTACCTGCTGCCGCGGAGGCAACAGCTGCCACCATGGCCTGATGAGTGATCTGGTGGGCGACGGCGTGCATGAACTCAGGGGGCAGGGAGGGCAGCTGGATGAGGGTGGAGCCTGGGGGGCGGGTCTGATGTAACCTTGAACCTGGACCCCTTTAACCCACCCATTCAGCCCTACCCCTTCTCTACCCAGAGCTCAACCTGCTCTGATGCCCTCACTCTTACCCAGGGTCTGGCCATGACCAGGGGGTCCTAGGGGGCCAGTGGGAGCACTCGGAACACCACCGGTCTGTGTGCCAGAATCTGGGCAGGGAGACAGAGAGAGTGGCCCTGAGACAGGCGGGGCCAAGCCCTAACGGCATCCTCCTGAGATCAGCTGTCCTGCAGGCTCCCACTTCCCCAGCCGGAACACCTGCCTTTCTCTCCATCAAGACAGGGAGCAGGTGCTCCCTTCACCACACCAACAAATCACCAAGGACACAGCACCCATCCTGCCCCGCCCCACACACGACGCTTAAAGCTGCTGCTCTGGCTCCTCTGCCAGCGCTGCCAGCAGCAGCCTCTCCCTTCCCCAGCCTCGCACCTCATACCTCAGCGCCAAGCCTACCTCCTTCACCATGCTGCTCTTCTCTGCCAGCGACCGACTCTAACTCACCTTGAATGTTCATGTGCATCATGACTACGGGTTCCACGCTCTGGTGGGAAATTCGGATGACCCTCGGGTGACTGGTGGCTGGCTGGGGAGCTGGCCCTGGAGTGGAAGCCCCCTCCGTGGACGACTCGACAGTGGTAGAAGACGGAGCCAGGGACGAGGCCTGCCCGGGACCAGAGGAAGGTGCCTCTGCATTAGGAGCTGGGGGGGGACGAGTCCCATTCCCCGTCATGGTCACAGTAGTCCCCACATTAATCTGGAAGAAACAGGGGGACAGGCGGGAATAAGAAACACACAAATACCTAGAACAGATCACCTTATGAGATACCCCTGAAGTCTTCCTCATCTTCATCACTACGTTTCCAAAGTCTCCTCCCTTCCTAATCACTCCACCTACACCCTCCATTCTCTCCGACCCGCTCTTCGTGACGCACCTGGATGGGAATGGCTGCCTGCTGGAGCACCATGGGGGTAGTGTAGTGAGACATGGGTCGGACCACATGCAGGTGGCGTGGGGGTGCACAGGCCAGATTGCAACGCAGATCAGACAGAGCCACAAAGGTGTTGCCCAACAGTCGCAGACTCTCCCCCACCAAGTTAATCAACCGCTGGTCCTCTTCTCGGCCCTCATGCTGTGCTCCGGGGTCAAACACAGAAAAGCAGAAAGTATCAAGCTGGAATCCTCCTCATTAACTAAAGCAGTAAGCTGTGCCTTCTCAAAGTTATCATGCCCTCTAAACCTTCGCTTGTATCCTTGGAAACAAATGCTACTACACACCCATAAAGAACTCCCTGCTAAAATAAACTCTACAATGAACCAACAGGGCATCACCCATGAATCTCCTTACTTTATAAACTTCCTAAATCATTAACTCAGAAGTGCAAGAAAGAGAGAGCAGTAGATACCGCAAAAAGTCACCTTCCCCCGAAGGAAGGAAAGGACCATTTACACGTCTAAAGAGAATTTGGGTTTTTTTCTTGTTTTTGGGTTGTTTCTAGTTTTTTGGGTGTTTTGTTTTTAGTGCGAGGGGAGAGTGTTATCTGTATCTCAGTCTGCCCTGTTCTGCTTCCGGAGGGTCGGGGCCATGGAGGGACTCACGTTGTTGTTGTAGTCCGTGCTGCCGGCGGAGCCCAGGACCTCGTAGTAGCGCTGCAGGAAAGGCTGGAGGCGGCTCTCCAGCCGCTGCAGCTCCTGCAGCACCTCGACATACTCCGCGGGGGAAGGGTGGCTGCGGGCAACCCAAGGGCAGTGAGCCGAGGCTTTCTGCAACTCCTGACCTCCTAGGCACCAGGGATCGCAGCCGCCCGTCTGCCCTGGGCCTGATCCCTTCACAGACCAGCACAGTCTGTTCTTTACTCCTACCCATGGGAGGACTGGGGGAAGACACTGAATTGCTCCCGCCCTCCCCAGCACAAGAAACTGACTCTACGAGAGAGATGGGATCCGTGTGAACTCAGGGCAGAAAATTTTATCAGGCTCAGGACTTACCACTTGGATTCCCTTGCCCAGGAGAGAGCAGTACTTTTTGCTCAGCTATCAATCCTAACTTCACTTACCTACACTCAATGCTAACCCTACAGGTAAGGCCCAAGCAATGCTTCCCTTGCCACTGTACCTTTCCTGGTCCTCACACTTCATTCGGGATCTCCCAAACCCCTAGAGTTCCCTCCTCCTCTCACTTGGGTGTGTTTGTCTCCGTGGCAGGTGCTGGGCCCGTTGGGGCTGGGCCAGGCGGGGTGAGTTCTGGGTTCTGGACTGGGGTGCGCTCCTCCACTTCTTCTGCCTCCATGGGCTCCCGAGCTGGCGAGTCATTTTCAACCGCTTCTGCTGTCTGAGAGCTCAAGGTTCCCGGCTCCTGGGCCACAGGCGGCGTTTGTGGGGGCGGCTGACTGTGCTGTGCTTGGGGCCCTCCTCGACACTGAAGGTGGGGCGAGTCAGAATACCAAAAGCAGGATGAGACTACTGTAGACAACCACTCAGGCCAAAGGAGTCTGAATGGGGAGAATGCCCTGACGAGGCGCCCTGAAGGCAGGGCTCTGGTCTGCCTCTAACAGCCAGGGCAGCACTGGGACAATCAGGCTGCACACAAGCATCTGTAGGCTTGGTGAGTGAATCACAGAGAGCAGAGGCTGCAGTTTCCTAATCTCTGCAACGAGAGAGAGAAAGGCCACAGGCTGCAACCGTAACACAAACTGACAAACTTAGAACATCAAGGAAAAAATTAAGAAGTGTGGGATCCTTCTTCAATTCAAAAGATATGCTGTGAGAGTTACCTGACAAGACTGAAACAAAGTCCCCAATACCAGCCACCAAATGATCTGGCAGGGTCAAAGCGGTCTCAAAAAGATACTTTTTCTACCCCAAAGAACAAAGATTGCAGAGAGAGGCGACCAGATTAGGAAGGCAGAGTCCTGTGGTTGTGGCCAGTTATGCCCCTGAAGAGACTCTAGCCAGACTTGCCCACTTACCTCCATCCGGGACAGTAAGGTCTGTATATCCCGGATCATGTGCTGGGCCATCACCAGCCGTACCCGGGGCTCACTCTACGATAAAAGAGGAATCATCAGGACAGGTCCGAGGTGAAGCCATGAGCTCCACTGCCTACTACACCAGGTCCCAGTCATCTCCTCAGCCAGGTCCTCCCCCACTTCATGGCCTCCTTCTCCCAGATCCCCTTCTCTGACCCTCCCAGGCCCCTCAATACCTGAATTGGGGCCTGTTCCATGTTGATGTGAACATCCACAGCAGAGCCGTCACTCTGGGGAAAGGGTAAGGGAAGTTGCTCTGGGAGAAGCCAAACACTAAAGCCTCCACACTTTCAATGTATTGCCTAGCCCCCCTCCCCCAGCCCTTTTCCTCAAAGACTGAGTCCAAATCCAACACTAAACCACAGAGCCCTCCAAGCTGAAGACTGACACATGCATCTGATGGGCCTCCTGTTGATACCACAACCAACCAAACTACCCTTCCCCACAAAAACTCTGCCATGCAAAACACAAGCTTACAGGAAGATTGAAGGTTCCAACCATGACATAGCTGTTGGCATTCCGGTCATGAACTGTGGCCCCAGGCCCCCGAGTACCAGGCAGGGGTCCCCCACCATGGGTGGCTGAGGCAGACCCTGTCCCAGAAGATGCCCCAGAAGGGAGCTGAGTCTGAGGAGGAGCCCGTTCCACCAAATGGATAACCTTTCCCCCAACATCTGCAGAAAGAAAAAGACATACATCAAAATAGTTGTATGATCAGGTAAACCCATGGCCTCAGCTCATCCCTCTGAACACTATCCTCTACCTCTGCAGTGCCTCCCCACCCCCTTACTGTATTCCTGGAGCTTCTTGTCATCTTGCAGAACTCGCCCCTGATAGATGAGCCGCTGTTTCTCAGAGGGGATGCTGACAGAGGCAGCAATATGCTCTTTAAACTCCTTCACACTCATCTGCAAGGAAGAAAGGACACACACAGGAGTCAGATAAAGGACAGAGGAGGTACAGAAGAGGGACCATGCATTAGGGAAGGTGAGAGGTAGAACTCATATAGAATCACTAGCCAATTGTCTCCTATGTGAGGTAATTATCGTGCAAAGCTTGACTCAAAACAGAAGCAGTAAACTCAAGGACACTCATGGCACAGACCAGGAGAAGATGTGGATGAGAAACAAGAAAGCCGACTGCCAGCCCCCTCTCTCCTTCTTTGCCTGGTTCCCAAGGGAAGGTGCGCTCAGTGCTACCAGTGACCCCTTCCCAAACACAAAATGATACCAGGACAACCCTGTAATCTCAAAGACAGAAACAATGGCAAGGAGAATGGGTTAGGGAATCAGGTGAGGGAAGACTAGCCAAGAAGAAAAGGTAGCAAAAAGAAAGGGAAGAAAGAGAGAAAAAAAAAGAGAAAGAGAGAAAAGAATGAAGGAAAGAAAGAAGGAAGGAAGGAGAGAAAAAAAGAAAGTCATTTTTCCTACCTAGAAAACTCACTCTTATGAAATGCTAGAATGTTTACATACATCTAACCACAAAGGCCCATATTATTTTCTTAATAACATGTGATATTTTATGAAACTATAGATCAGTCTGCTCACAATTCTGTCTCTAGCTATTTCAGGAGTAAAGGCACAGACAGCTGTATCCACAGCATTAAACAGAGTTTCAAAGTATGCTGCAAATACAGTAATTTCACTCGCTCGTCTACAAAAGCTCTATTCATTACGAATTCTTATGCGCATACTTAAAAAACAGTATAGGCAGTGAGCACCCAGCCTAGCAATTAAGATGCTCACATCCCATATCAGAGTGGCTGGTCAATACCCAGCTCTGGCTCCTGGCTCCGGCTTCCTGCTAACACAGACCCTGGGAGGCAAAATCGATGGATCAACGAACTAGATAGTGTTCCTGGCTTCCAGCTCCTGCCCAGTCTCAGCCACTGCAGGCATTTGGGAAGCAAACCAACAGATGGAAGCTCTGTCTCTTTTTAGAAAGAAAGAGAAGGGGAAAGAGGAGACAGGAAAAAAAAGAGTATACACCCATGTGACCAATTTCTGTTTATAGAAGACACACTTGTTTGGGGGTCACTGTATCACGTCCATTCCCAAAGGCTGTCCCCTTGGGCTGGAGGCCACATAAGATGACAACGTACAGATTCCTCCTTCCTATTCTCTGCACTGACTTCCACCAAGTTGAAAGAAGGCAGAACAAAAATCTGCTTCACTCAACAGTTAAAAAAGTGAACAAAGAAATCAATGAAAACTCAAGGACTAGAACATCAGGCTCTTCTCCGTCTAATGGGCCCCCGGGACAAAGGGCCCACAGATGTCTTCCAGAAGTATCGGGGTCTCACCTGGGCCCCCACAATAAAGGTCCGAGTCTGAGAGTCCAAGGTCTTCACCAGCACCTCCAGGCTGTCAGGCTCCTCCATAGTGGTGCTGGTACTATCACTGGGCTCCATGGCCGACACCTCTCTAAGAAAGAAGGGGGAGAGGAAGGTCCGCTGTCGCCCGGAGCTGATTTTAGATCCAGGAAGCCTCCCCGGGCTGAATCCCCGCCCCAATACCTAAAAAGTTTCTCCCGCACAAGCACACACACTCACACCCGCCCCCATTCCCCTTCCGATTCCGGGGCAACGAGAGAGAAACACAAAGGGCAGATCGACGGCACAGGGAACCGAAGGACAGGAGGTAGGAGGAGCTCCACAATGCCAATCACAATGAGGGCGGGTCAGTCGGCTTAAGATACGGGAAAAGAAGCAAGCATGGGACCAGAGACCCGTGTCATCACCAGTCACGGCACTACAAGGGTCCCCAGAAGTCGACAAACCCTGGGACAACCCGAGAGTGGGAGTCGCGCCAGACTCCGCGGAGAAAGTGGTTTCGCGCACGCGCGCCACGCCCATCGAACCCGCCTAAATCACTACAGACCCGGTCGGCGGACACTCACGGGAGGCTGGACCGGCTAGCTGACTGCCCCCCCACTTCCGCCTTCCCTCGGTGTTCCAAGAGAGCAGCACAACCAACACACAGCCACAGCCAAACACCATACACATACACTCCCCACCACCCTTCGGCTCCGCCCCCGACTTCCCCACGGTACCGTCACTTCCGGTCTCCCCCAACCTGCCTCCGACGGTCACTTCCGTTTCCCCGATAGTATCTGGGGAATCACGAGGCGGTACTTCCGGCTCCCCCAGGTCCCCAAGCGTTACTTTTGTGGGGCACGATGAGAAAGTCCGTAGCCCCAAACAGTGAGTTGCTGGGGGCGAGACGGGCCGGGGCCGGCCTAGATGGGAGGGAGCCGAGCACCCCGAGGAGCCGCCGCCGTCGTCGCCCGGGGACCGTACTGCGCCTGCGTTAAGTCTCATTACGCATGCGTGCACATTTAAACTCCGCCCACCCACCCCCTCTGGCGGTGGTTACTTCCCCTGTGCGCGCGCTTCAGCGATTGGGGGTTGAGGTGGCCACTATAAATGCCTGAAGAAAAAAATTGCCCGATGAGACTGCCACTGCCTCAAGAGAGACTACGAACTATTCGTGTAGACCTTAGAGTTTGGAGCCTGGAGATTTTGCCCCGTTAACCTATGTTAAAATCCTGGTAAGCGGAGAATTTTAGGCGGCATTGTCCTAGGCACCTAAGCCTCCTAGCGTCTCGCGGTCGTCCTCACGGCACCTTTGCTCCGGCGCCTCCGGAAGTCACCTTTGCCGTAGGCTGTTGGGGGCGGCTCGCGAGATGTTTCTCCGTGCGGTTGCGTCGTTGGGCCGGAGCTCGCTTGTGCCGGTTGGGGCGTTTTGCGGACTGAACGTAGTGTTTGTTCGTCATGGGCAGTGAGCGGCCAGGGAGTCACGCCATGTTGTAGGAAGGCTAAGCCTGCCGCTGTCTTTCAGGACTTTTGTCAAGAGAAGTGTTTTCCGAGTTTGAGAATTGTCGCGATGGAACCCGACTGGACCGAAAGAGGAGACCTTGACCTTGGAGAATTGAAAGGCCACCGAGGGGCTTCCGCAGGGGTGCGGTGGGGGGACTACCGCTTCTCTGCGCCCCCTTTCCCCCACGTCTTTCTGCGATTTGTAGTTTATACCCAGATCCCAGGACTGGTTCAGTTTAAATAAGCACCTGCTCAGTGTGCCAGCCAGTATAATAAGCGTTTTACATATTTTAAAGTTTTGACCTTGGAAATGGGTACTAACATCTGTTTTATAGGTGAGTACGCCTAGACAAACCTAGGTGGTGGAAGTGACAAACACGGGCCCAGTTCGACTTTACTGCTCCAATAAATTGTTACATCTTAGCTTTTTCTTGAGAAATCTCAAAGCATTACCCCCAAAATAGACTAGTAAAATGAACTTTCATATACCCTTCGCTCGGATTTAGCTTTGATTTTTTTTAAACCGTGATCTGTTTACACAGTAAATCACAAGTCCATAGCAAGCCTCAAGTCCCAGAGTAAATCTTTGTCGTAGTCCGCGGGTAGTAAGTAATTTGGCAATGGAGCCCTGGTCATTCAGCAGCAGTTCCTCCCTCAGCACAACCCAGTGACCACAGCGTCACCATTCTTCCCTTAGTGCCTATGGTTTCAGAGATTACCCACCAGAAACTAGTAAGTAGTCTGCAGATACTACTGTTATACTGAATATTTAACTTGGGACTTAACCATTTTCTGGTCTTTGCTAAAGACTTCATATGCATTATTTCAATCCTGTGAGATTGATGATTAAATAAAATTATCCCAAATAGAAGAGAGGTCTAAGAATTGGGTTTAGAATTCACTCTGCCAGCCACAAAAGGTCTATCCTCTTTAATCACTAAATTGTGTAGCCCCCTTGTAATAAACATTGAGTGAATGAACTTGTGTGTCCTGAAACTTTTCCTTCCAAGGTGTATACATCCTGTGTCCACAGTTAAAACTTCAGGGAGAAATCCACCATGCCCGCGGAACTGGTCCATACCTGTTGGCACTTATCAGGTTGCACTGCAGTGATCTGTTTACACAGCTAGTTCTTCCTATACTGACTTCAAGGCCAGGGACTGTGTCTCATTTTTGTATCCCCACAGATTAGCTAGTTCCTGGCAAACAGCTGGGGCTCAGAAAACAGCTAAGTGAATGAATGAAAATCCCAGTCAAGCCTCTTTTCCATGCTGCACAACACAGCCAATATCCAGCTGAGGCATGGGTTAAAAAACTGTGGGCTTCTATGTGTGGGACTGGGCTCTTCCCATAACTCGTGAGACACCCTGGACATACCAGGTTGTATCGTGGACTGGTTGTATGAAGAAGAGGGGGAGGAAGGCCCAAACACTAGGTAATCCAGGCTTGGGCTGGAAAACAAGGTTGAAGTTACTCATTAGCAGGTGAAGGGGTCAAGGGTCGAGGCAAGGGGGCTGAAAGCAGAGTGGCCTGAGCCACCAGCAGTGGAGAGAGCAGTTAAGGCACTGGTCGCAAAGCCGCAGCTCCCTCCTGCCTCAAGATGTTCCAATGGATTTGGGCAGCCGTGCTCTACCTCTATGGCATTCTGAACTCCCTCTATCAGTGCCCGGAGCACAGTCAGCTGACAACTCTGGGAGTGGATGGGAAGGAGGTATGGACTGAGGATGGGGGATACCTTCTGGTGGTGGTTTAGAGGGGCTTCAGTGGGTGACCTAGAGTCACCAGAAGCCAGATTGGGAAAGGGACGAGGGTTGGAATGATGAAAGCAAGGAGAAAAGTACCAGTCCAGTGGCCATCAGCGTGGAGACTCGGCCGAGTTAGGGGTGGCGAACCAGGTTGACTTGGGGGGTGGGGGCGAGGAGGAAGTCATTTAGTGTTTTTTTTTTTTTTGTCAGGAATTCAACCCCCAGTTGCGCAGAGGGAGGCAGCCAGTCCCTCCACCTGAAGTCTTGCTCTGCTAACCGCTGGCTCCAGCGCTGGACTCATTAACTTTTGCTTCCCTCATTGTCTCTCCAGTTTCCAGAGCCGCACCTGGGCCAGTGGTACTTTATTGCAGGGGCAGCTCCCACCAAGGAGGAGTTGGCGACTTTTGACCTTGTGGACAACATTGTCTTCAACATGGCTGCAGGCTCTGCGCCTATGCAGCTCCAGCTTCGTGCTACCATCCGCACGTGAGTGGTGCAGACAGAGGCACCACTGAGTGCACTCTGCCTGAAACGCGAGCGCCCAGCAAGGCCTGGGCTTTGGGGCTAGTGTAGCCAGTATTCTTGGCCACTGAATCCTCTAGTTCTGGCAGTGCCTTCTGGAGAGAGATGGGTCTAACCACGCCTTGTTAGCATGAAACCCAAAGGGAGCTAGATTTCCAGGAGGAATAAGATGGAACAAGTAGAGGCTGGTACCATATGGCTGAGGTGACACTCGGTCTAAGGTCCTGTCTGCCACTGCCCACTTCTGCAGAAAAAATGGACTCTGTGTGCCCCGGAAGTGGATCTACCATTTGACTGAAGGGAGCACAAACCTCAGGACTGAAGGTTGGTTCTCTCCAGTCCTCCCCCTCCCCCAGCCCCCTAGACTCAGTTTCAAGTCTCCCTCCTCACACTTGCCTCCACCCACTCTTGACAGGCCGCCCCGACATGAAGACGGAGCTCTTCTCCAGCTCGTGCCCAGGGGGAATCATGCTCAAAGAGACGGGCCAGGGCTACCAGCGCTTTCTGTTCTACAGTGAGTGGGGTGCAAGGCAGGAAGGGCCAGAGGGCAATGAGGACTTGCAGAACATCTCACCCTGGGCCCTGTGACATCCTCCCAGGAAGGGCTGGGTGCTGCCATGAGGTCCTTGCCAGGGGCGGTGCTGAAAGGCGGGGGCTTTGACTGGTCTGGCCCCACCCCGCCCTTGCAGATCGTTCGCCACACCCTCCCGAGAAGTGCGTGGAGGAATTCCAGTCCCTGACCTCCTGCCTGGACTCCAAAGCCTTCTTACTGACTCCCAGGAATCAAGGTGAGGGGTTAAAGACACACAGAGGACTGGGACTCACCAAGGCTGCTGGGGGTGCTGGATGCAAGAGGCAGGCTTGTGGTATCACCAAAAGACACCAGCCAAGGGCTGCCACCTTCAGAGTGACTATGTTGAGAGCTCCATTTGTCATAGGCTGTGATGGCGTCAGAGGGATGTGGCTCCCAGGATGGGCTGTGGGTGACTCAGAGGTTTCCAAGTTTGCAGTGGGTAAGAAAGGCAGAGGGTCAGACATGAAGTGGGCAAGGTCTCAGGACCCTTTCTTTGATGCAAGGCAATGGAAGAATACGTTCTCCCTAGCCACGTTACCCACAACCTTGGTTCTCTCTGCCACCTGATGTTCTCCCTCCTCCCATCACAGAGCCCTGCGAGCTGTCCAGTAACTGACATCCATGCCCCCAGACCAGTTTGATGGGAGCTGAGAGAAGCTGGAGACTCCCAAGTACCTTTCAAGAATAATAAAGACGAAGTTTCAATCCTCATCTCATTCTGGAATGTCTGTACACACCAATCCCATGCCCTCCATTTCAGTTTCCCGGCTGGACCCTCTGCCACCTAACCCTGGAGCTGGACGGCGTCAGAAAGGACACTGGCATGGTCACTCTCACTTCGTAGTGGTGTATTTAGGATTTAGTGTGACACAGGTATTTATTGCTCAGTGAGTGGTGATGACAAGCTCCAGCACTCTCCCCACAATGCCTGGCAGAGCTGTCCCTCCTGTCAATACTGCTGGCACTATCCCCTCTCCCTCTGGCTCCACGAGTACCAGATCGGGTCCCAGATGGGACTTGTCCAGACCCTCGAGGCCCCCCACCCCCCACCCCCGGCCCAGCAGTGCTACTCTTCCTTAGTTGGCTCAGATCCCAAGGTCCAGGAGATCTCTTGGTTCTCTCAGCCAGCTTCCCAGCCTCCTTCTGCAGAGATCTGTCCCGCCTCTGGGGAGTTCTGAAGGTAGAAAAGACCATTCGGTCTTCATTCTCCACCACACTTTTTTTTTTTTTTTTTTTTTTTTTTTTTGCTTTTAAAAAGTGGAGGTGAAAAACAGGTGGGAGAAATGTAAAAGCAAAAAAGTAACAATAGCTGGTGAATCCAAGGGTGATCCCCCCAGTGTCCATAGACACTCTGTTCTCTCCTGTGTATGAAGGGGGCCCTGAGCCCTGGCATTCCAAGGTCTCTTTCCCATCCCTGAGGTCCCTGTGCTTAGTCTGGGTCACACACACCCCCATCCTAAAGGCCACCCTGTCTTTATCTTGTGCCCCCACCCCATGGTCACAGCCCCTTTCCCGGGTCTCCCCTTTGCTCTTCACCCTTCCTCCCTGACCTCTCACCCTCCCAGTCAGTGGCCTCTTCATCTCCACTGGGCTCCCTGAGGCTGACAGCCAGCACCAGGGCCTGCAGGAGGCCAAAGAGACAGGCAAAGTGCAGAGGATGGGCGGTGAGTAGGCTCAGCACAGCATGGAGCCCATGCAGGGCAGCCACGAATGACAGCAGCCCATGTAGCCAGAGGCCCAGTGGTCCACGCAAGCCCAGAGCGTCCAAAGCTGCCCGCAAGGGCCGTGAACACAGTGCCAGCAGGGCTGAGGCCAGCAGCTCCAGCAGGTGAAGGGTCAGGTTGGTGGAGATCTGCAGACACTCCTCTGGGCCACCCAGGTACCGCGGGGGGCCGCCAGCTTCCCCCCGCAGCCAGCCCAGCAGCTGCTGATGCCGGCTGGCGTTCTCCACTGCAGCTTCAGGCCCAGGAATACTCAGTTCCTCTTCAGGTCTCCGGGTGCCACCTGCATCCATGGGATCCATTCCCAAAGCCCCTGCAGCTTCCAGTCTCTCGGACTCAGCCTTGTTCCGCTGGAGGGAATCCATCCCTTTGCTCCCCAGTTGCTCAGCTCGGGGCTCCCTGCTTGGTTCTGGCGCTGCTCCAGAGCGCCTCGGTGTCCCCGAGTCCTTGGTCTTGGGAGGCCCCACGTCTCCCATGGTTTCTGGGGCACTGTCCCAGTCGCTCCCTGAATTCTCAGGAGAGCTATCCACCCATCTGGGTTCTGGGGCTGTTGAGTCAGGCTTTGCTGGTTTCCGGCGGCCCCAGGGACGAGGCAGCCAACCACTCAGCCGTCGCAGGAACATGGCTGGGGTGTAAGGAGCCTCCAGATTGTGGGGTGGGTGGGAGGAGGCGATTTTCAGCACGGCTCAGACTCTCAGGGGTTCTTCAGAAGCCAGTCTCTCAAGCTCAGAGCAAGTGTCCACTGGGGGACTCTGTCCTCTGAATTCTGACGCGGCTCCTCGCCACCCTGAGGTCATGCAGCCGCAAGCGTGGCAGAGGCTTGTTTCCTTTTCAGTGTTCAGGCAAGGAAGGGACGTGCGCACACCCACACGCATTCACTACTGCCCGGCACGCAGGATTCCAAGAGTCTCAGGCCCTGACAAGGCCCGGGTCACCCCCACAGCATACTCTGTGCGTCCAGCTTCCTTCCCAGCGGTTCCCCAAGTTTCACTCCCCAAGGCCACGCCCCAAGGTGCCCCCGAATCTGGGGAGGCAGTGCTCCATCCGAGGAGGAAGGAAGGTGGCCGGTGGTCCTAGGTTCTACTGGATTTGAAGTCTCAAACTGCTGCCCTAAGGGAGCTGGAGGAATAGGAAGTCTCTTTGTTGGGCAGTGGGACGGCGGATACAGAAAATTCCCGCCGGCAGCGTCTGTCCCTTGCTTTAGGGGCCCATGATTCCTACAAAGTGGCCCGACCGGCCCGCGAGCGCGCAGTGGAGCCGCGGCCTCTGCAAGGTCAGGCCGGTGTCCTCGGAGATCCCAGCCGCGAGGCTCAACGCGGGCCTACCTGGGACCCAGGCGTCCAGACACTGTGCGGGCGGGGCGGGCGGCCTCCTGGGCCCAACGTCGCGGCCGCGGCCTCGCGGAGCCGCGGGAGCTGCAAAGCCCGGAAGCAGCTGCTCCGGGACCGGAGGGACAGGCGGGGGCGGAGCCCGCAGCTTTCGGGGCGGACCCTGTGGATCGACCTCCCCTCTGCCCCTGCGCTGCCATTGCGCACCAAGGCGCCGCGCGCAGAGCCTGCTGACTGCAGCGAGAGCCAGGGTGAGCGTAAATCCAGTTCACTTTCGCCCCCCAGCCCCTCAGGCTCCAGTGCTCCCCTAAACTCACCGCCCCTGCAGCCCCTACACTGGAGTTCCCCACATCCCCCACCACTCCTCCATTTTGCGTCCATGACTTCATGAAAAGCATCTCCGGAAGAGGAAAGGGGAGTCCTACAATCCGAGTAACCTTTCCCTGTCCCTCCGTGCAGGGATTCAACAGCGAGCTCTTCATGTGCCTCGCACCTGGGATGACCAAGACAAGGGAGCCAGGGTTGTGGGAGGATGTGGGAGTGTGGGAAAGAAGTCTAGATAAAAAGCATGCTCTTCCTGTTCTTAGGAATTTTCAGGTAGTGGTGAACCCCAATTTACCAGACTTGGGAAGCCAGCCCAGGTCCCAGCTCATCAGCATACAGGTTGGAAAATCTTAGGCTTTGTCCAGTAAGACCCTACCCACTCCCATCACCTCCTCGGGCGGCTGGGAACCTTTCTCAACTTCCCCTCCCACCAGGCATTAGTATAAACACTTCTGATTTATTCGTTTTATTTTCCCAGATGTACAACTGGTTGGGCCTGTTCATACATCTTCATGAGCAGCTAGGCCATCTCTACCTTTGATGTATTTCTGGTGTAAATCACTTGAGCTCTGTGCTTTGAAACCAGTTTTGACAAGTACTTCCTAAGGGGTTTCTCCTGAAGGGTGCCCTGGCCAGGAAGTTGCTGATCATCTTCCTCAAGAGACCACAGCTGGGAGTGTAGATGTATAGTTCGGAACTTCCTTGCAGTCTGTCCTAAGTAGCTTTGTCAAACAAGCTTGGGTTAGTTTGTCCAGAATTCTATCACTGGACCTCAGCAAAGCTTTTGGCCTTGCCCTGATTTGTTCACAAGGTCTTTATCTTTCTTAGCTGCTGTCATCTTTATTTTTATCGTTGGACAGCACTGCGTGGAGAGAGCAGCAATCACCATGAATTACAGTATTTGGTCACACAGTGGTCTCCCCCTCCAACTGTGAACTTCTTGTTGATTAGAGTATCTTTTATTTGTATTGTTTTGTTAAAAAAAAATTGAAAGGCAGAGAGAGAGAGGGAGATGGGGCCGGTGTTGTGGCGTAGCAGGTAAAGCCACTGCCTGCAGTGCCTGTATGTGCCCCAGTTACTCCTTTTAATCCAGCTCTCTGCCATGGCCTGGGAAAATTGTGGATGGCTCAAGTGCTTGGGCCCCTGCAACCACATGGGAAACCTGGAAAAGCTCCTGGCTTTAAGATTGGCCCAGCTCCAGCCATCGCAGCCATTTGGGAGTGAGCCAGCAGATGGAAGACCTTTCTCTGTTTCTCCCTCTCTCTGTAACTTTGCCTCTCAAATAAAACATTAAAAAAAAAAAAAAAGAGAGAGAGAGAGAGAGAGAGAGAGAGAGATCTCTTCCATCTGCTGGCTCCCTCTCCAAATGGCTGCAACAGCCAGGTCTGGCCCAGACTGAAGCCAGGAGACAAGAACTCCATCCTGGTCTTCCACATGGGTACCAGACCCAAATACTTGGGTCTTCATGTATTACCTTCCCAGGCACATTAGCAGGAAGCTGGACCAAAAGCAGAGTAGCCAGGGGCCGGTGCCGTGGCTCACTAGGCTAATCCTCTGCCTGTGGTGCCAGCATTCTATATGGGCGCCGGGTTCCAGTTCTGGTTGCTCCTCTTCCAGTCCAGCTCTCTGCTGTGGCCTGGGAGGGCAGTGGAGGATGGCCCAAGTGCTTGGACTCCTGCACCCACATGGGAGACCAGGAAGAAGCTCCTGGCTTTGGATCGGTGCAGCGCTGGCTGTAGCAGCCTTTTGGGGAGTGAACCAATGGAAGGAAGACCTTTGTCTCTGTCTCTAACTCTGTCAAAAAAAAAAAGCAGAGTAGCTAGGACTTGAACTAGCAATCCAATATAGGATGCCAATCAAAAGCAGCTTAACCTGCTGCACCACAATACTGGCCCCTATTTGTTTACATAGTGTATGAACTTATTGTTTGTGAAATCAGTGACTCAACTGGCTGAAGTGGTCAGAGCATCCTTTCTGAAGGAGGCAAGTCTTGCCATGGAGCTTGGCAATTCTTGAGTCAAGTTGTTTGCAAGAATGGGTGGGGCATCACCAGCAGGGGGCCCAAATCCTGGAAGTGAACCCAGACAGGCAGTCAGGTGACCTACCATGCTACCTGGAAAGGCTTCTGGATCTGCTGAGACTTATGGGTGACCCCCTAGACTTCTGTTCGGTTTCCCCACAACAGCTTCCAGAAAAATGAATAAACCAAAAGAGATGAGATGCTTAATTTATTTCTCAACTCAGCCCACTGATCAAAAACTGAAGTTCTGTACCTGGCCAGATCCCAGAAAGTCAAGTCAAAGTGCCCAGGCCAGGGACCAATTCAGACTTCAGCAGTAGGCCAGGGCCAGGCTCGATCAAGGTCAGTACTCAAGGTTCATGTATGTTCTCAGTTCCCGCTCCCAGGCTCTGTCCCGTTCCTCTTGCCTTCGCTCCTCCCTCCGGCTCAGTGTAGCCACCCGAGGGCCTCTCACCCTTCCGGCCACAGCCCGGGTATCTCGAGCTGGGAAGTGTGTGACTCGGGGCTGGGGTGGTGATCTGTAGCCTAATCCTTCCTGGTCCCTCTTGAGGACAGTGGGGATGGGGTTGGCTCGGCCCTCACCTCGGGGTCCCAGCCCCATTCCTGGCTCCCAGCCTCCCCGCAATAGCAGCTGGAAACCTGGGCTGGTGGTGGGCACCCCAAGGCCAACGTTGGGGGACTGACAATCCTTAGACAATGACAGCAGGTGAGCAGTAGATGTGCGGTGGTTGGAGTCTTGGAAATGGGCATCACAGGTCTCACAGTACTGGGGAGAAGAGGCGTGGGACCTGCAGAAAAAAGAAAAAGGGTTAAAAGCAAGGGAAACAAAAAGGGGTAGAGATGGGGCAGGGTATTTTATTGAAGCCCCAGAGGGGTAAGACAGAATCTTTCCGGCTTTTCTAAGGAAAAAATTGCCTTCCTCCCTATGGAGCAGTGAGGGACCCAGCTGGTTGCAAGAAGAGATGGTTATCTAGGCCTCACAAGTTTCTAGCAAGGGAGGAATAATCCTGGTTAGTTAATATTTATATACTGCATATTGCGAGGCATACACTGTTCCAGCACTTCACACAGATTTCTAGCATTTCCCATGTGTTAACCCATTGAATCCTAACCATAACCCTGTGAAAAGGGTGCTGTTATTACCCTGTTTCTCAGACAAGAAAACTAAGAGGTGGCATTTGAACATTAGATTACTTGCAAGTAAGTGAAATCAGGATTTAAATCCAGGAAACTCAGGGCTGGTGCTGTGGCACAGAAGGTAAAGCCACTGCCTGCAGTGCTGGCTTCCCATATGGGCACCGGTTCGAGTTCCAGATGCTCCATTTCTGATCCAGCTCTCTGCTATGGCCTGGGAAAGCAGTAGAAGACGGCCCAAGTCCTTGGGCCTCTGCACCTTCGTGGGAGACCCAGAAGATGCTCCTGGTTCTTGGCTTCGGATCGGCCTAGCTCCAGCTGCTGCGGCAGCTGGTAGACCTCTCTCTCACTGTGTAACTCTGACTTTCAAATAAATAAATAAATCTTTAAATTAAATATAGGCCGGCGCCGCGGCTCACTAGGCTAATCCTCCGCCTACAGCGCTGGAACCCCAGGTTCTAGTCCCGGTTGGGGCACCAGATTTTGTTCCGGTTGCTCCTCTTCCAGTCCAGCTCTCTGCTGTGGCCCGGGAAGGCAGTGGAGGATGGCCCAAGTGCTTGGGCTCTGCACTCACATGGGAGACCAGGAGGAAGCACCCGGCTCCTGGCTTCGGATTGGTGCAGCACGCCGGCCGTAGCGGCCATTTGGGGGGTGAACCAATGGAAGGAAGACCTTTCTCCCTGTCTCTGTCTCTCTCACTGTCTAACTCTGCCTGTCAAAAAAATAAATAAATAAAATAAAATAAAAATGAAAAAATAAAAGAAATCCAGGAACTCATGCTTATAAGCACTCTACTACACTACTATATCAACCTACATTGGAGGATGCAGAGACCCCTTCAATTCTTTTCTGGGGCCTCTGCTGTGGAGCAGCTAGAAGGGGCAGAGCAAACAGAAAGTGGGTATGGGCCTCTCACCGGTTCTCTGGGCTCCTTGTCTCTCCATGGCTCTCTCTGACCACGCGAGCCACCTCGGAGAAGCCGGCTTCTTCGGCCAGCTGAGCAGCATCCCTGCCACTCAGCTCACAGACGCCCACCCAGGCAGCCCCACGGCCCAGGAGATAGCGCACAGCAGCCTCCTGGCCCGCCCGGGCAGCACACATCAGGGGAGTCCACCAGAAGGCATCCCGGGCGTTGATATTCCCTCCAGCTCCCCCTGCCTCATGGGGTTCCAACAGCTTTCGCAGTTCTGCCAGGTTTCCCTCCTGGGCTGCCCTCAGGATCCGCTGGGTCATCTTGTCCTCGGCCTCAGGGGATCTCCACTGTCCATGTCTTTCCGGTGCTCCTGCAGACCCTGTTTCTGCTGCTGTCTCCCTCATAGTTCTTCTCCTCTTCCTCTTTCTTTCCTGTGCAGGCTCAGGTTGAGGTGCCTTGGGCTCAAGGGCACTGCTGTCATCCCTGATGAGGGCCTCGTAGAAAGCTCTGGCAGTAGCCCCATCCAGGGCGGCCTCTGGCTCTTCAGGCTGTGACTGCTGCTGCTGCTGCCCATCCTTCCAGAGGTCACTGGGGTCAGTAGCTGGGGTGAATGAGATGAGGGAGGGCTTGAACATAGCCTTTCCAAGAACTGAGAGAATGAGGCTGGGCCAGGGGAGGATGAGACAGACAAATCAACTTCCTAGTGGCCCTTGCAGTGGCCACAGCCACCTCCAGGGACCTGTGGGCAACAGGAAAAACAGCCTTAAAATCAAAACCATCTTCGCCCCTCCAAAACTGACCCTACAATCTAGGACGTGACACCCTAAGGGCACTAGGTCTCAGATGAAAACACAGAACACTACGATAACACACTTTGCCTACTGTTAAAGGTTAATAACGAAAACTCCCAGGCAGTCATCCTGAGGTCTTAGTTCCGCCTTCCCCCAACAACAAATATTAGCCCCTCTCCAATACCACTTTCCTATCCCGTAAGACACACCATCACGAAAAATCAGCCTGGCCCTTTAAATCTTCCTGGATCCTACTTTGGGGTTTCCTCATCCCAAAGGAAGCCGAGAAGTCATGACGCTTCTCGGGAAGACTTCAAGACTTCGGGACGGTGCAGTCTGGGTTGCTTCCATACTGCAAAATGGCGCTATTCTAATCAAAAGCGTTGGCACAATCAAATAGCCACACAGCACAAGCACGCATGCATAGCAACAACCAAACAGCACCCCGCCTCACCTGGGCGCACAGGCGTGCGCAAAGTGCCGGGTCCGGATTCCCGCCCTGGAACCTTCTCAACAGCTTATGCCCAGGGCCTCACGTGCCCCTTTGGCGCGAGGACCCGGGACGATCCGTCGGTTGGGTGGGGGGGTCCTGCTTTTACATAACGCCCCCACAATGCCCTTCGCCTCCCTCAACGTGGCCCCCACTCCAAGCTCATTTTCTGAACCTGGGAAGCCAGCTTCTGGCTTAAGAAAGTGCCTGAGACGGAGGGAAACCTGTGGAAGGCCGAGAAGTTGTGAAATGAAATAACGCCACACTACCCCCTCACCATTACTCGGAGCAGGTTCGAAGGGCACGCGTAGAGCCCTCAGCTGAAGACCCCATTCAAGCCCTGGGAGGAAATGGAGAAGTGCAAGGGGACGAGCAGCAGGATGGCCGGCGCCGCCTCAGGTTAGCGCACCGGGCCGTCCTGGTTGTCAATAACGCTCAACTCAGGACAGACACACCCGACCCAGGTCCCTCAGCACGGAGCCCGTTCGTACCTCCCACCTCAGAAGGCCCGAGCTCAGGGTAAAACGTGGGGCTCTCCTGTGCAAGGCCGTGCCCGACTTGATAAGGACTAGGAGGGTTGGCCAGGGCTCACTGAGGGTCCCCGAGGGCAACGTCTGCGACCCGACTCGCCTCGCTTCTTCCCCCGCCCCCTCTTGGCCCCTCAGTCCAGTGAGCATACGACTCTATTTCCCAGGCTCCTGGCCCCGAACGCCTTACTTGGCTTCCGCTTCCGGTGGCGCCTCGCTGTGCCCCGCCCCCGAGCCGCGTCCTCGGGGGCCTCGCGACACGAGGGTCGTGAGTGAGCTGTCCTGGGATTCGTAGTTCGCTTTTCCCTCGCTTCGCCGGTCTCTCGCCCTAGCGGACTCCATCTCCCAGCGTCCACCGCGGCTCTCGCCCCTCGGCGCTTGCGCGTTGCCCTCTTCCCCACCCTCCCCGATTTCCACTCCCCCCACCCGACTTCGCCTGCCGCGGTCGGGTCCGCGGCCTTCGCTGTAGCGGTCGCCGTCGTTCCTTGGAAGCAGCTGTTCCCCTCCCCCACCCCGGTCCCGCTCCCCGTCCAGCTGGTGAGTGTGAAGTGGTTGCCCCGCGGAGTTCCCGGTCCCTAGGAGCGGCACATGGGGTCTCCCCGCCTTGAGGTGGGGGCGAGGAAGGAAGTGACCCGGTCCGTAACCGTGGGAGGGAAGGGTGGCCGGAGAGCGGGAGGCAGGCTGTGGGGACTCCGTGAAAGAGTACCTGGCGGTGCCCGCCCCTCGCCCCGGGTCGTGAGAAAAGGAGGTGTCGGGTCGTTGCTTGGCAAAGATAAACTTCTAATTCTTGGGGAAGGGTGCCGGGGCCCTGCGGAGCCCTGCGGTGGTAGGGAGCCCGAGCCGAGGACTCTGCCAGAGTTGACACAGGCGAGAGGGGTCTGGCCGTCGGGGGCGCGGGGGATGTAGGTAGGGACTGCTGGGTCGGTACTTGTGGGCTCCTGCCAAGGAATTTCTAAGTTCATTCAGAGAAAAGGGGCCGAGGTGTAAATAACAAGAGCTAGAGAAGCCTGTCCCAAAGGCTGGGATCCTTTAAAAAAAAAAAAAAAAGGGTGGCCCCAAATTCTTCCATGGCTGAAAGACAGAGTGTGGGAGGAGGGAAGGTGCCAGAGCCGGGGAGGGAGAGCTTGGACTTGACTCCTGTTTCCAGCTGACGTGAAGATGAGCAGCTCGGAGGAAGTGTCCTGGATTTCCTGGTTTTGTGGGCTCCGTGGCAATGAATTCTTCTGTGAAGTGAGTGCTTTTCGTTCTTCCTACTCGCTGGTTCCATGCGTTCAGGTTGGGTATCTTCAGCTTTTGCACGCTTTATCCCGTGGAAACTCCTTCCCGTGAAAGAAGGGGTCCCCTCAGTAACCCCCCACTAATCAGCGGCGATGTGGCAAGACTGGGGCCCAAGTCCCATTTCTGTCACACACCCCACCGCACCCCCAGGAGGATAACATTGAACTAGTCAGACCATCTTTTTTTTTTCTTTTTTTTTTTTAATTTTTTATTGTACTTAAAGTATCTGAAGGTAGAGCAACAGAGAAAGTGAAGGATCTTCTGTCTACTGGTTTATGTCCCAAATTTCTACAACAGCTACTGCTACCAGCCAGGCTGAAGTAAAGATCCCAAAACTACCTGGGTTTCCCATGTGGGTGGCAGGGACTCAAGTACTTGTGCCATCACCCTGCTACCTTCCAGGGTGTGTGTTAGCAAGAAGCTGGAATTGGAAGTGGAGTTGGGACTTGAACCTGGGCATTCCAGTTTGGGATGTGGGTTATCTCTAACCATGTAGGAACCACCGTGCCAAGTGTCCTTTCTCCTTTGCTTTTTCATTACTAGAATGCTACTGGTAGTGCTTATCTCTGGGGGCTGTTAGGAGAATTGGAATACTGCACCTTAAAATGTACTGTAACGTGCAAAGCTCTGTGTTGACATAAGGAATTCTAACCACCTTCAGAAACCAAGCTGTTCAGCCTCCACCTTCCTCAGAGAGCAGCTGTTCCCTCAGGAGAGGACAGAACTGGTTCCTAGAGATGAGGAACAGGACTAGAGACGCGGGAGTCGAGTGTGTCTCTAAGGAGACTGCTGTGCTTGCTTGTCCTTGGAGGAGAGAAGCTGGAGCTTTCACGGGGGGGAGGGCGTGCGTGTGAACTCGGGACAGCGGCTGAAGTACTGACGCTGAGTTGGAGTAGGAAACAGGCAGACCAGATGCAGCCGTGTGGCCGACAAGGCGTTAGTTAGGTGACCTTGGCCAGCTCAGAAGCTGGGGGTCCCAGTAGGAGTTTTCCTCTTGACCTCCGTGTTCTACCAGGTGGATGAAGACTACATCCAGGACAAATTTAACCTTACCGGCCTCAATGAGCAGGTGCCTCACTATCGACAAGCTCTAGACATGATCTTGGACCTGGAACCCGGTGAGACACCCTCAAGGTTCATGGGGGGGGGGGGGCTGTTTTTCTCTTCAAATTACCTCTTGAATTTACCTCTTGAATTTCTAAACTTCCTTTTGGTTCTCTGACACCCCTAACCTCAAAGTCCCAGCAGCATTTTTGCCCCCCTCCTTGAATTCTTGCCTAGTTTTGTGACTGATAGCACTTGCTGCCATACTTTCTGAATTTGTAGCTCAGCGCTCCTCCTTATGCGAGTTTCCTCGCGGGTCTTGTTTACTGCCTCTTTGCCTGCCTTGCACCCTCCAGTCTAGAGTTCCACCTTCTGTGTTGACATCTTTGTATTTACGTACTAAGGAAGGAGTTGGGAGGGAGAGAAGAGAGCAGAGGCTGAAGAGGTGTGGAGAGAAGGCTGGGCTGCCTTGGGTTGGTGGAAGGGGCAGAGGCCCAGGTTAAATGCCCACGTGAGGACTGGGTGAAGCTCAAGGATGGGTGCTGGGCAAACTGGGCAGCCAGCAGCCCTGGGGGTGGGCGGGGCACCTGGGAAAGCTGGAACGCCAGTGGTTGCATGTGGCTGGCCCATATTTCAGACGAAGAGCTGGAAGACAACCCCAACCAGAGCGACCTGATTGAGCAGGCGGCCGAGATGCTTTACGGATTGATCCATGCCCGCTACATCCTCACCAACCGAGGCATCGCCCAGATGGTGAGGCCTCTCTGCGCCTGCGTGACTCCTTGTGAGGCAGTAAGGGAAACAGGTTCCTACAGTGAGCAGTAATCTGGCAGCCCTGTCAAGGAGTCGAGCTGAGATGAGAAAAACCCAGAGCTTGGGCCGGGAAACTGAGTCCTCCCTGGACGTCCTGCTGAGGGGGTGTCTTCAGGGAGGGCGATGTGAGCTTGGTCAGAGTTGTGGACTACTTCTTCCTCAGAGAACAGACGGCAAATGGCCCTGGATGTCATTAGCCTCCCTAACTGGGGGGAAAGTTGGTGGGCCCGTTTGGTCTGCACAAGGACCTCCGAGAAGAGGGAGGAAATGTGGAGGACAGAGTTATGTGGGGGTCGCTGCTTCTCCTCATACCCACCCACCAATCCCTTCCATTTTTTTCCCTTCAGTTGGAAAAGTACCAGCAGGGAGACTTTGGCTACTGTCCCCGTGTATACTGTGAGAACCAGCCAATGCTTCCTATCGGTGAGTATTGAAGAAGGGAGAGGGGGCACCATCTGGCAGTCCTCTGGGAAGGAGTTGGGCTCAGCAAGGCGGGAGCTGAGTTCTGGGGCAGGGGACTCGGCAGTGTCGCGGGTGCCTGGCCTGCTGAGTCTGGCTGTCTCCCAGGCCTGTCGGACATCCCAGGTGAGGCCATGGTGAAGCTCTACTGCCCCAAGTGCATGGACGTGTACACACCCAAGTCATCGAGGCACCATCACACGGATGGTGCCTACTTCGGCACTGGTTTCCCTCACATGCTCTTCATGGTGCATCCCGAGTACCGGCCCAAGCGACCCGCCAACCAGTTTGTGCCCAGGTGGGGAGCAGACAGAGTCACCATGTGTCAAAGGAAAGACTCAGAATCCCCCAGAGAGAAGGGTGGGCGGGGCCTGGCCCTGTCCTGTGGCCAGCTGCTCCAGAGCCAGGGCTGCTTCCTGCTGAGGGACTGTGGGAAAGTTAGTTGATAGCCTGTGTCTTAGCTTCCTTGTTCTTAGAGCAGGGATGATAGCAGCACCTGCCTGATAGTGTTTTTAGATATAGGAATTGTTTAGAATGGTGTGTGGCACTCGAAGCACCATTTTAAACAGTAGCTGTTACTGTCCCCATGTCAGGTGCTTGACCTTTTGTTAGGTGATGGTCAGAGTTACAGATTGTCGTTCATCTACTCTGGAGTGGGGAAGAAAAGTTCAGTTTTGAATTGAAACTAGTACTGATAGATTACTTGGAGAATTGATATCTTTTCAAGTACTTATGCGTGAAGAATTTTGGGAACCATTGCCCTTTAGCATCAATTAGGCCTGTGGAAGAACTGTGGTAGGGAGGTGGGAATGCAGGCCACTGGCAGGGCCAGGATGGGGCTCACCTACTGCCTCTCTGACCTGTGCCCCACCCAGGCTCTACGGTTTCAAGATCCATCCGATGGCCTATCAGCTGCAGCTCCAAGCCGCCAGCAACTTCAAGAGCCCAGTCAAGACGATTCGCTGAGCCCCCACCCCACCTGTCCTTCAGTCTTTGACACCTCCATTCCTTTGCTGCCACCCTTTCAGGAACCTTCCTCTATGGTTTTTAGTTTAAATTAAAGGAGTCACTATTGTGGTGGGAATATGAAATAAAGTGGAAGAAAAGGCCATGAGCTGGTCTGCTGGTACTTGGTGTTGGGGAAGGGAGAGTGGTGGTGTGCTGGACCCCAGAGGCCCTCATAGCCCAGCCCACCCGCCCCGGGCTGAAAACCAGCCCAGGTTTGTGCCCACTGGATTTGGGTCATGTTTTCAGTGTAGAGCAGAGTGGAATTCTTAAGACTGAGTTTGGGGAAACACAAGATGAGAAAAGACCTAGAAAAAGGAGGTGTTGAAGACTAGAGCAATGTTCTCTTTGGGTACTGTGGTTGCCTTTTACTGTAAAGGAGCTCAATCAGTAATATTTCAGTTTTGATTTTAAAGTTCTGTAATAAACAACCTCACATGGTAGGGAGAGGAGGGAGGTGTAGAGAATTGCTGCTTGTGGTGTCGGTGCGCCCTCTGCTGGCGAGCTGAGACATGCTCATCTGAGAAGGATGGGACCTTCATTCCCCAGCCAGTTTCTCTTGTGGATGGGGGACCAGCCTTATTGTGTGGAGAAGACAGCAGATGGCGCCAGAGAAACGCTAATCCTTGGACCCTAGAGGAGATGGGGAGTAGCTCTTTAAGGACAAAGTAGACAAGTGGGTAAAGACACAGGTGGTGCCCAGATTTTTCCCCTGTGTAGGCCGCTGTTCCCACAAACAGGCCTTGTGGGCAGGACATTCTGTCTCCACTGCCAAGTCAGTAACTTCCTGTCCCTGCCTCAGGACTATAACTGCAGCTGCCGCTCAGACAGCTTGTCAAAACCACCTGCAGCTCAGGATCCAGGAGCATGGTCACAGGAAACTGGGCTTTTGGGGCATTCCTTAGGAGCTGCTCCTGTCCCCAGAATTCCATGATGGGGGTCCATACCCTTGTAGGTGTGCTGATCATGGTGGGCTTCGTGGTGGGAAAGCGTAAGTGGGGCCCACGACAGGGAGCCCAGAAAGGGGGTGGAGGTGGGGCTGTGGATGCCCAGGCTTCCTGCCAGGCAGAGGACTTGAAGTGAGCCTGTGTTCCTGTCCCTCCTTCCTGCTACTTCCCAGCTCCTGTTCCTGAAGTGCGGACCTGCCACTTGTGCCTCGTAGAAGATCCCACTGTAGGATGCATTTCAGGCTCAGGGAAGTGCACCATAAGCACCTCATCCCTGTGCATGGTGATCACCATCCATAGTTGTGAGTAAAGTCCCAAGAAGGGGCTCCCGGGGAGACCGTCCATGGCTTGCTCTCCTGTCACAGATGAGGGCTTCTGGGGTCTGAAGTATAAGAGAGGAAGATCTTGGTGGGAAGGGTTTGTGTTTAGGGGGTTAGCTGAGCTCATTACCTGACCTGTTCCGAGGGAGTCCAGGCTAGAAATCGGGTATGACTGAGGAATGGGGTCAGTGGCAGGGGTGCCAGGTTCGATGACTGGGAGGCTGTTAGCAGGGATTATTAGCTGTCCCTTCTCCTCCAGATGGCAAGACTCGCTTCAACATCCGTGGCTGTGGACAGCACAATTCCTACCGCTGCAAAGAACTCCGCAGCACCTATATAACAGATTACTGGTACCAGGTCCAGTGCTGTCAGTATGATTACTGCAATTCCTGGTCCAGCCCCCAGCTCCAGAGCTCCCTGGCCGAGCCCCACGGCAGGCTCATGCCCCTGTCTGACTTGCAGATCCAGCAGTTCTACCAGGCCTTGAACCTTTCACTGCCTCAATCTCGCTTTCATGCTGTGAAGGAGCCTGAAGGCCTGGACCCCCTGGCCACCCTGCGCCAGAACCTGGGCCTATCCACTGCTGAACTGCGCCACATCTACTTGTTCTTAAACAGTTCGGGACTTCTGGTTCTTCCCGGTGCTGGACCCTGATAGCCCCTTCTCAGATCCTGTTGTCCCGCATGTCTCCCTCACACCCCCAAGCTCCCTGCACGGCTCTCTCTCAGGACGCTCGTGTTCTCTGGTCACGGTGATCCCTTAGGCTTCCCTCCTTCAGATTTCCGGTGTCTATAGCTTTGATTCTTTTCCTCTCCTGAGCCCTAGTGGTGTTCTTTTTTCTAGACAAGAATCTCAAGGATGGGGTCTTCCCAGGCTGGCCAGAGAAAGGCACAATCTTTTCTTTCATCCCTTTGTCATCATCTGAATGTCCATCATCTTCCCCCTCCTCTCTCAATCTTATTACCTGCCATTTCAACTCAGATCTAGCTCTGTCTCTAAGACCCAGTGCCATACTGAACTTGAAGCAAGAAGGATGAGGGGTAGATGCCTGTAGATTCCTTGACTGCGGTCTGGTGTCCCTGCCTCACTGTCTCCACCTCTTGGTTTCCTTTTGCCTTCTGTCTTTTATCACAGTCTCTGGCTGCCTCAGTCCCATCTTACCTCACCAAGCTCATCACCCACACCCATGGGCACCTCATAAGAGGAGACAGGGTGCTCTTCTGTGCCCCATATCACTTGTTCCTCCACAATAAACTGGGCCTGGGCTAAATCTGTGTCACATTGTTTATGGGTTCTGGTTCAGGTGTGGGCAGGTGGAGACAGGTTAGAGAAGGTTAATTAAGTGTGGGATTGAGCCCTACCCACTCCACTCAGCTTTTGTGGCCTCTTGTTCTGTCTCGAAGAGCCAACATCCTACCCAACCCTCTGCTCAGCTAGAGGTGAAAGCAGCCTACAGTACCTAAAAAGTTTAGCCCAGTTGACCAAATGTCCGCAACAGCTGGAGCTGCGCCGATCTGAAGGCAGGAGCCAGGAGCTTCTTCCAGGTCTCCCACATGGGTGCAGGGGCCCAAGGACTTGGGCCATTTTCCACTGCTATCCCAGGCCATAGCAGAGAGCTGGATCAGAAGAGCAGCCGGGACTGGAACTGGCGCCCATACAGGATGTCAGCACTTCAGGCCAGGGCTTTAACTCACTGTGCCACAGCGTTGGCCCCAACCATGTTTTATCACCTACAAGAAAAGAAAAACTATTTTCAAACCAGGAAGATTTAGGAACCTATCACGTTCCCGAATCACGTGGTGCTGAGACATGAACTTCTGTCTTTTCAAGGATCTTGCGATTAGAAACCCTCTGTTCTGATTGAAGAAGGAGGTGCAAAGAGTATTGATGGGGCTATAATAGTTGGCTCTTCATGTTTTTTTTTCTTAAAGATTTATTATTTGAAAGTTACACAGAGAAGAAGAGACAGAGAGGTTTTCCATCCGCTGGTTTACTCCCCAGTTGGCCACAAGGGCTGGAGCTGTGCTGATCCGAAGCCAGGAGCTTCCTCCAGGTCTTCCCACATGGGTGCAGGGGCCCAAGGACCAGGGTATCTTTTTTTTTTTTTTTTTTTTGAGAAAGGTCTTCCTTCTTTTGGTTCATCCCCCAAATGACCGCTACAGCCGGTGTGCTGCACCGATCCGAAGCCAGGAGCCAGGCGCTTCTCCTGGTCTCCCATGCGAGTACAGGGCCCAAGCACTTGGGCCATCCTCCACTGCCTTCCTGGACCACAGCAGAGAGCTGGACTGGAAAAGGAGCAACCGGGACAGAACCTGGCACCCCAAAAGGGACTAGGACCCGGGGTGCCGGTGCCACAAGCGGAGGATTAGCCTAGTGAGCTGCGGTGCCAGCCAGGAGCAGGGTATCTTTTACTGCTTTCCCAGGCCACAGCAGAGAGCTAGATTGGAAGTGGAGCAACTGGGACTCGAACTGGTGCCCATATGGGATGCGGGCACTCAGGCGGCTGCTTTTCCCACCATGTCAGGTGCTGGGTCCGGCTCTTCATTTTAATATTTTACTTTTAAAAAATTAGAAACACGTACACGAAGGAGTAATGGAAACAACCCTTTCTGTACATTCAGTAGACACTGGGTGTAAACTGCTCTGAGCTGGGTCAGGTGTTAAGCACCAGGACTTCCAGCTGAGTGTAGCCAGGTGTCTGCCCCCTGAGTCTTACATCCCAGTACTGGGGTTGTGGAACCGTTTTCTTAATTTATTTGAAAGGCAGAGAGACAGTTCCCATCTACTGGTTCACTCCCCAAATGCTGCAACAGTGGGGCCTTGGGGACAGGAGCCAGGAACTCGGTCTACATCTCCCATGTGGGAGGTGAGAACCAGTACTTTGGTGGTCATCTACTGTCTCCCATTGCGCACATGAACAGGAAGCTGGACTTGGAAGTAGAGCTGGGATTTGAACCCAGGCACTCCTGTATGGGATGTACAGCTTCTTGGTCACGAAGACAAGTGCCCAGCCCCAAGAAACCTTTCCCTAAAAAGCAATCCCAGCTCCTCTGCCATTGTGTCAATCTCTGCTTTACTGGTTATCTCTCAGGTGGGAATATAGTATCTGTAACCAGCTTCCCAAGCTAAAGGCCTTGGCAATACCCAAAGCTGCCCTTGTGCCCCTTCCCATGTACTCCTGGTCAGCAGTAGCCATTGTCCTGGTTTGGAGCACTTTAGATGAGTTTGTCTGATGAAAGTATTTACAGCATATATTCATACCTATACAATGCTTTGTACATGTATTAATAGACAATGGGCCGGCGCCACGGCTCACTAGGCTAATCCTCCCCCTTGCGGCACCGGCACACCGGGTTCTAGTCCCGGTTGGGGCACCGGATTCTGTCCCGGTTGCCCCTCTTCCAGGCCAGCTCTCTGCTGTGGCCCGGGAGTGCAGTGGAGGTTGGCCCAAGTCCTTGGGCCCTGCACCCCATGGAAGACCAGGATGAGCACCTGGCTCCTGCCATCAGATCGGCGCAGTGCGCCGGCCGTAGCGCGGCTGCCATTGGAGGGTGAACCAACGGCAAAGGAAGACCTTTCTCTCTCTCTCTCTCACTGTCCACTCTGCCTGTCAAAAAAATAGACAATGGACTGTGCTTTAGCAGAAGACACCAAACTGATGTTAATTTGTAGGTCATGAGCTAGCCGGAGGCACAAAGGAACCAACTCTCTGTCCTCAGCTTGCTGGGTCTACCTTTCCCCTTTAGCCTCTGACCTCAGTATAAGAATGACACACATTTGTTAAGCTCTAGCAGGCAAGATTACAGTATTAGAAGGATAAGGAGTCCAAGACTCCAAATTAACTTGCCAAGGTCTTTAAAGAGGGAAGGTGACCCTAGAATTAAAGACCAGGGTTCCACAGGGTTCTTTTCCAGAGTGGCCTCATCAGGGCCTTGTACTTTTGCGGCCCCTCCTCCTCCCTTTTTCTTTTTTAAAGATTTATTTTGTTTATTTGAAAGAGTTACAGAGAGAGGTAGAGAGAGGTCTTCCATCCACTGGTTCACTCCCCAGTTGGCCGCAATGGCTGGAGCTGTGCCTATCTGAAGCCAGGAGCCAGGAGCTTCTGGGTCTCCCACGTGGGTGCAGGGGCCCAAGGACTTGGGCCATCTACTACTTTCCCAGGCCACAGCAGAGAGCCGAATCGGAAGAGGAGCAGCCAGGGCTTTAACCCGCTGTGCTACAGTGCCAGCCCCCCTCCTCCCTCTAAAACCCCTCTGGACCTTCCCTCCAGCCCCCACCCAGCTCTGGTCTCATAGCACTTCTGAGCATGTCAGCCAACCTGAGTGTCATCGGCGGGCCTCCAGCACCTCCTCACCATCTCATGCCTGTGGACAGTCAGGCCTGCCTCCCTCAGCCTCCACCCGCTCCAGAGGAGAGAGAAACCAAACAGTTTGCACGCCAATTTATTTTAGAGCAAGTCCTTGGGGGCTTGGGGCCAAAGGAGTCTGAGAGGGCCGGCGGCATGAGAGGAAGGATGCTGAGGGGCCTCAGCCGAGAAGAGTCAAGGATTGCGTCCGGTGACTTGAGGGAGGCAGGCGGGCGGGATGAGGAACGGCAAGTTGTCCTGGTGGAACCCAGGGAAAGTCAGGAGGTTGGCTGGCAGCCGGCAGGATATTCCTTCCAGTTTTTAGGATCCTTGGAGTAAAATTTTTGCTCTGTTTTGGGGGTTATTGCAGAAATTCAGGAAGCAGCATTGAGCATATATCCAGAAGCCAAAAACGGAAGAAGGGCGGGTGTGTGTACAGTCACTCAGCTGCTCCTTGCTCCGGCAGTCACTCACCATCACGTCGGAACCGCTGCCTAGGGAGGGGCCCCAACAGAGCCCTCAAATCCTTATTCCACATAGACTTGTCACCATCCCCCACACCCTGCCCTGGACCTCAAAAAAAAAAAAAAAAAAAAAAAAAAGACAAAGAATAGTTGTGGAATTGGATGGGGTGGCTTTCACCATCTGTGGATCTCTGCTACAGTTTCCCAGGGAAGGTTGGAGGGGAAAAGCCATTTGAAGTGGAACAGGTGGGAAGGACTGGGTTGAGGTTTGTGGAACCAAGTGTTGGGGGGGAGGGCGCCAGCACTGGGGGACTATTGTAAGAAAAAGATCGGGAGGGGCTGGCATTCTAGCATAGCTAGTAAAACTGCTGCCTGCCATGCCAGTCCCTATGTGGACATTCAAATCCCAAATCTGCTTCACTTCTGACCTAGCTCCCTGCTAATGCACCTGGGAAAGGCAGCAAAGGATGTCCAAGTACTTGGGACTCTGCACCAACATGGGAGATCTGGAAGAAGATCTTGACTCCTTGCTTTGGGCTGACCCAGCTCTGGCCATTGCAGCTATTTGGGAGTGAACCAGCAGATGGGATATTCTCTAATTCTGTCTTTCAAATAAATAAATCTTTTAGAAAAAAGTGTATAGGGCTGGGCATTGTGACATAATGGGTTAAGCCACTGCCTGCAGTGCTGGCATCCTATATGGGCGCTGGTTCGAGTCCTGAGTGCTCACTCCCAATCCAGCTCCCTGCTAATGTGCCTGGGAAAGCAGCGGAAGATCGTCCAGGTGCTTGGGCTCCTGCACCCACATGGGAGACCTGGAAGAAGCTCCTGGTGCCAGCTTGGCCCAGCCCTGGCCATTGCTGCCATTTGGGGAGTGAACTAGCAGATGGAAGTCTTCTCTGTCTAGCCCTCTCTCTGTAACTCTACTTTTCAAATAAAATCTTTTCTAAAAAAAAAAAAAAATCAGGTAAATGGAATTAAAAGACAAATTTATCTTAAAGAAAAAGATTGGAAAATGTATTGGAAGTTGGATTTCAGAAGTATTTGTCATGTATTTTTTAGGTCAAAGAATAAAATGTCTATGCAGAGGATCTTTGTGCCCATGTCCCTAGATACCCTTCCTCTACATGGATGTTCACTGCTATCCTACTTAAGAGAGTAGGGATGGCATTTGGTGGAGTGGTTAAGACACTGCTTGGGATGCCCATATCTCAGAGCGCCTGGGTTTGAGTACTGCCTCCACTTCTGATTGCAGGTTCCTGCTAATGCACACCCTGGGAGGCAGCAGGTGATGGCTCAAATACTAACACTTTTCAAAAGAGTTTAAAAAAAATACTGGGTGGTACTGTGGGTACTGTGGAACAGCCAGTTAAGCTGCATCCCATTTCGAAGTGTTGGTAAGTCCTAGCTACTCCACTTCCAATCCTGTTAGTGCACCCGGGGAGGCAGCAGAAATAGCTCACGTACTTGGATCCCTGCCACCAGTGTGGGGGACCTCAGTGGAGTTCCTGGCCCAGCCGAGTCTGCTGCAGGCATTTGGGGAGTGACCCAGTGGGTGGAAGATCTCTCTCCATCATCCTGTCCATCTCTGTCCCCTCCCCCACTGTCATTACTCTGCTTTTCAAATAAGGAAATCTTTAGAAAAAGAGCACCACATGTCTGCGGAAGGGTGTTTGGTATGGTGGTTAAGATGGCACTGGGGCCGGCGCCGCGGCTCACTAGGCTAATCCTCCGCCTAGCGGCGCCGGCACACCGGGTTCTAGTCCCGGTCGGGGCGCCGGATTCTGTCCCGGTTGCCCCTCTTCCAGGCCAGCCCTCTGCTGTGGCCAGGGAGTGCAGTGGAGGATGGCCCAGGTGCTTGGGCCCTGCACCCCATGGGAGACCAGGAAAAGCACCTGGCTCCTGGCTCCTGCCATCAGCTCCTGGCTTCGGATCAGCGCACTGCGCCGGCCGCAGCAGCCATTGAGGGGTGAACCAACGGCAAAAGGAAGACCTTTCTCTCTGTCTCTCTCTCTCACTGTCCACTCTGCCTGTCCAAAAAAAAAAAAAAAAAAGATGACACTGGGACTCCCACATCTCAGAGTGTCTGGTTTTGAGTCCTGGCAACTCTTGCGGATCCAGCTTCCTGCTAGTGTGCACCCTGAAAAGCAGCAGTGGTGGCTTCAGGCTCCTGGCTGCCCCTGCCGCCCTCCCTGCTCCCCCCACAGCTGTTGCTGGCATTTGGGGAGTGAACCAGCAAATCAAAGATCTCTGTCTTTCAAATACATATAAATAGATTGGCATATTACAAAAACACCATCTATGGAGCCACCACAAATTTTGGATCAGCCTTTGAAGCTTGGGCCACGTTGACCTTTCTAGCTGCTTCTTTACCTGTTAAATGGGGATAATAATCCCTGCCTGAGAGTTGTGTCTAGAACAGTGTCTGGCACATAGTATGCGGTCTGTTTTTGCTTTAAAAGATGAGGGATTAGGTAGAAGGGGAGGCATGTAGAAGGGAATGTAGTCAGTTTTCAGCAAGTTGAAAGTGAAGCGGATACCCAGTGGGCAGTTGGACAGGAGAGTGGTTTTTTGCAACACTCAATTCAGGAGGAAGTAGCAGGTGGCTGCTGGGTAAAGCAAAGGAAGCAGATCAGCTCCTCTGAGGAATGTGTATGAATTGAGAAAGCAGCTAAGAACCAAACGCTCGTGCACATGAACCATGAAGGGTCAAGGAGAGAAAGGCAGAACTCAGCGCAGGTGACTGGAGAAGCAGTGGGGACAGAAACTCCAGGGACGGTCAGTGCATCTGGAGGTCTCAGGTCTCCAAGGCTGAGAGCTGCGAGGCAGAAGGCAGTCAGCTGTGGGCGGAGGAGGGAAATGAGTGGAAGTGGGGCCAGGGAGTGGCTCTGAACAGAAAGAAAAAGGTGGCAGACAGTGTCTCAGCGTCACGGGAACAAGCAGCTTAGGCGGCTCAGTTCTGGAGAGAGGGCAGCTTACTGTTCCTTATGTGGAGAGTGACGCAGCTGCTGCCAACCGCGGCGAGGCAGATGTCAGATCCCAGAAGACACCCCAACTCTTTGGTTTCCAAGAGGCAGCGATAGCAGCGCAGGTACTTGGGGAGCTTCAAGTCCTGGTTGGCAGCAACACACTCACCTAGAACAGAGAAGTGCTGACCCCAGGCCCTGCCCGCCTGTTTCCAGGCCGGTCAACCACACCGTTCCCACCTCCAGAAACCACATTTCTTTAAAGCCATATATTTTTTTTAAAGATTTATTTATTTATTTATTTATTTGAAGGTCACTTACATAGAGAGAGAAGGAGAGGCAGAGAGAGAGAGGCTTTCCATTTGCTGGAAATGGCTCCCCAGATGGCTAGAACAGCTGGAGCTGGCTGTGCCAATCCAAAGCCAGGATCCAGGAGCTTCTTCCAGCTCTCCCACGTGGGTACAGGGACCCAAGGACTTGGGCCATCTTCCACTGCTTTTCCAAGCCATAGCAGAGAGCTGGATCGGAAGTAGAGCAACTGGTACTTGAACTGGCGCCCATATGGGATGCCGGTACAGCAAGCGGCAGCTTAACTCACTATGCCTCAGCATCAGCCCTGCCCTCTGGTTCAATCTAATAGGGATTGTAGTCTTCATTAAAAATCTCCAGGGAGGGCCGGTGCTGTGGCTCAGTAGGCTAATCCTCCGCCTTGCGGCGCCGGCACACCGGGTTCTAGTCCCAGTTGGGGCACCGGATTCTGTCCCGGTTGCCCCTCTTCCAGGCCAGCTCTCTGCTGTGGCCAGGGAGTGCAGTGGAGGTTGGCCCAAGTCCTTGGGCCCTGCACCCCATGGGAGACCAGGAGAAGCACCTGGCTCCTGCCTTCGGATAGGCGCAGTGCGCCGGCCACAGCACGCCAGCCGCGCCGGCCATTGGAGGGTGAACCAACGGCAAAGGAAGACCTTTATCTCTCTCTCTCTCTCACTGTCCACTCTGCCTGTCAAAAAAAAAAAAAATCTTCAGGGAGGAGAGGCTGGCACTGTGGCACAGCTGGTTAAGCTGCCATCTGCAGTGCTGATGCTGGTTCGAGTCCCAGTTGCTCCACTTCCAATCCACTTCTCTGCTAATGCTCTTGGGAAAGCAGTGGAATGGGCCCCTGCATCCACGTGGGAGACCCAGAAGAAGCTCCTGGCTCCTGGCTTCATCCTGGCCCATTCCCGGCTGTTGTGGCCATTTGGGGAGTGAATCAGCAGATGGAAGTTTCTCTCTCTCTCTCCTTCTGTCTCTTTAACTCTGCCTTTCAAACAAATAAAGAAATCTGTTTAAAAATCTCCAGGGGCAGGCATTGTAGCACAGCCATTCAACCACCAGGAATGCCCACATCCCATTGGAGTGCCTCAGCTGTGCTTCAGAGTCCAGCTTCCTGCTAATACCCCTCTTAGGGTCCCTGCCCCCATGTGGGAGACCTGGATAAAATACTAGGCCCTTGCTTTGGCATGACAGGCATTTGGTAAGTGCACTAGCAGATGGAAGATCTCTGTTTTGTGTCACTCTGCCTTTCAAACAAAAGAAAATAAATAAAACTTTATAAAATCTCCATATTTTACCCTTATTGGTCCAGGGTAAGGAATTCATCATTCAACCTATATTTGTGGACTGCCATTGTTGCACAGTGCGTTCAACTGCAGCCCCGGATGCTGGCATCCCATGTCATAGCGCCAGTTCAAGTGCCGACTGCTCGGCTTCTGGTCCAGCTCCCTGCTAAGGTACCTGGGAAAGCAACAGAAGATGCACCCCTGCCACCTACATGGGAGACCTGGATGTAGGTCCAGGCTCCTGGCTATGGTTTGGCCCAGTCCTGGCCATTGTGACCATCTGGGGAGTGAACTAGCAGATGGAAGATCTTTTTTTCTCTCTGTCTATCCTCTCTCTGTGTCATTCTGCCTTTCAAATAAATAAATAAATAAGTCTTTAAAAAACCAACCAACTGGCCAGTGCCATGGCTCAATAGGTTAATCCTCCGCCTGCTGTGCCGTCACACCGGGTTCTAGTTCCGGTCAGGGTGCTGGATTCTGTCCCGGTCGCTCCTCTTCCTGTCCAGTTCTCTGCTGTGGCCCGGGAGTGCAGTGGAGGATGGCCCAAGTGCTTGGGCCCTGCACCTGCATGGGAGACCAGAAGCACCTGGCTCCTGGCTTCAGATCAGCACGGTGCGCTGGCTGCAGCGGCCATTGGGGGGTTAAACCAACGGAAAAGGAAGACCTTTCTCTCTGTCTCTCTCTCACTGTCCACTCTGCCTGTCCAAAAAAAAAAAAAAAAAAAAGTCAACCAACAAAAATGTGTTTGAAGAGCTAACCTGTGCTCAGCACCCTACAAACCTCTAGATTCACAGGTTAGCCTGAAGCAGCCACTCCAGCTTTGGGTGGCCCTGTGAGAACATGTCCTCTGTCCCCTGGCATCACAGTCTCCCACCCTCCTGGACTCTTTCAAACATGCTTTCTTAATCTACAACTTGCCAAAGTGAAAATGAGAGTGCGTAATAGGACAAGAAGAATCTCTACTTCACGTAGAAAGGCGATTTCAAGCAGCCCAAGGCCACATTTTCATTGGTTTGACCAATACCAGACTCATATGTCCACCAAATCTCCCATTCCCTGTGTCCCTCCATACCTACGTGCACATCCCTCCCCCTCTTCCTCTGGTCCTAGGCCTAGACAACGCTGTGTGTCCCAGGTCCAGCAAAGCACGTGGTATGAGGCAGAGGCAAATGCTAAATCCTAAACCCTTCCGGATCCTAGTCAGGCCGCTGTTGCTGAGTGGGCTGGTCACCAGAAATCTCCCTCAGGGCGATTGAGCACCAGTCCATCAGCAGTCTCCAGGCCTTTTCCCACCAAACCCTCCCATCCCATCTTTCTGGCTATGGGTTTGCCTGAGCATCCTGGGCAGATGTGCCCAGACATCTGGTGTCTGTGGGTTTCTCCTTTTAGCTGACCAAGAGGCCCTTCCAACCCCTTAGAGCCACTTACCACACATCAAGCTCATCATGATCAGCGCCGTTAGGAGAATCACATTCGGGCCTTGAGAGGTGCAGCTGAGGCCCCAGAGCCCCAGACGCCAGCCCCCTGCAGGGCCCGCCATCAAGTGCATGACTGCCCTCCAGCCACCAGCTGGGGCTTATATTGGTGGGAGAGAGGCTGGCCAAGAGGAAGCAGCGAGGCAACACCAGTTTGGGGTGGACAGAGGAGGGGCAGTGTGTCCTCACCCACAGTGCTCTGGGGCCTAACATCCTGGCTTGTGGGGGCAGGGGCCCAGCAACAGAGGAATAAGAGGGGGAACTCCTTTCATAATCACTCAGCCGGTGCGTGCTGAATCCCTGCAACAGGTGGCAGGGATCCAACAGTGAGTGACCTCCCAGGACACAAGCTGTTAGGGTGACAAGACAGTAAGGGGGGGGGGGGCGCAGAGTGTGACCAGAACAGCTGGGAAGTGGAAGGCACGGGTCAAAGGGACTGCAGCAGCACCGGATCACGTTTCTTGTAGAATATTGCAGTGGCTGCACTTTGGAGGGTGAACGAGGTTGAGTGGAGGCCAGGAGAACGCCACCACTGAATCTAGCCACAAGATGGCGGTAAGGTCCCGCAGAGGGGAGGCGGGCCGCTGAGCCAGGTGAGGGAACCCGAGACGCACTGCGTTTCCAAGGAAATCTGGACGGATTCGGTGTCGGACTGCATGGAATAAGGGAGGGTGATTGGTGGCACCATCTTCCAAGATGGGAAAGACGCGGTACTGTCAGGCATCAAAAGCGAGGACGCCCGAACCTGAGTGACCAGTACTCGGCCCGGTGCCCTCTTGGGCTTCCGGAGACCTGGAGCCTTCTCCCACGCCACCCCTTTTTCTCCTTCCCGGCATAAGCTCAGCTCCGGGTCAGTGGGTCTGGTCTCCGGCGCCCACAGGCTCCAGCGCGGCGAGTTCCTTCTCCGCGCCTGGCTGCGCCCCGAGGACGCGGGGGCGTCCTCGCCCACGCTCGGCTCCTGTGGGCCTCTGGGCAGCGCGAGACGGGCGTCGGGACCGAAGCGGCTGGCGCCAGCGGACACCCAGGGCTTGGCTTGCAGGCGCCCTGCCCAGGTCCTCCCCGGGGACCTGCTGTCCCCTGCCCCCACCTCGCCAGGTCGGTCGCAGACTCCGAGGGACTCGGGGATTTTACACTTAGGAAATGGGCTATGGGAGGCTCTCGGTGTCCAGGAATGACAACTCCAATTTCTCGTCTTGGAGATTCCGGGTGTGGCCCTTAAGTCGGGGTCCCTGCCACCGCCCGGGCTATCCTAGAATCACTCAATCTCGGGATGATGAGGGGGATGATAGGAAGAAACGGACAGGAGACACCTGCCCAGAAAGATGGACGGGTGACAAAGGCACACTCTGCCTCCTCTAAGAGCCTAGGAAGGAATGAAAGTTTACAAACTGTACTGGGGGAAAGCCAGCGTGATGGAGAACTGGGGAGGCGCGCCTGGCACCCACAGAAATGGTTGGATCAAAGACTGTAGAGTGATAGGCAAAAAGAATCAGAGGACCGGGGCTTCTCTGCAGCAGGTGAAGAGGGCCAAGGGGAGGCTGAGGGGACCCTCACAGCGCCCCCTGAGCCCCTCTCTAGAATGTAACCGCAACTCCGAGGCCGAGCGCAGGAGGGCTTCACGAGACCGGACTGGGCGCCGCAGGAGCTGCCCGCCAAAGTCCAGGAGGACATGCTGGGCGCTTACAGCGACCGCGGGCGCGGGCGGCGGTGGGCGGGAAGCAGACAGAGGCAGGATTTCAGCGGGCTGCGGCGGGGCCGAATGGGGCTTTTTTCCGGAGCGGCCGTGGTCTCAGGGTGGTTAATCCCACCCTTGTATATTTCACTCCTCCCAGTCCCCTAGCCAGGGCCAGGTCGTGGCACGCAGAGGAGCCTGGAGAGCGTTTCCATGGTGACAGGTTGCGTGGAGGCTTTCCTAGGGTGAAGAGGCGGAGCGGTGTGGTCGTCGCCATGGTGACAGCAGCGGTTGACGGTTTCCGTGCTGCGGCCCCTCCCTCGCGACAAGGAACACCTGGGGGTGGGCCGCTGAGTGACAAAACAGAGGAGGCGGGACCTGACGACACAAAGCCACGCTTGGGGGAATGGGACAGAATTATATTTTTTATTTTTATTTTTATTTTTTTTTATTTTTTTTTTTTTATTTTTTGACAGGCAGAGTGGACAGTGAGAGAGAGAGACAGAGAGAAAGGTCTTCCTTTGCCGTTGGTTCACCCTCCAATGGCCGCCCCGGCTGGCGCGCTGCGGCCAGCGCACCGCGCTGATCCGATGGCAGGAGCCAGGAGCCAGGTGCTTTTCCTGGTCTCCCATGGGGTGCAGGGCCCAAGCACCTGGGCCATCCTCCACTGCACTCCCTGGCCACAGCAGAGGGCTGGCCTGGAAGAGGGGCAACCGGGACAGAATCCGGCGCCCCGACCGGGACTAGAACCCGGTGTGCCGGCGCCGCTAGGCGGAGGATTAGCCTAGTGAGCCGCGGCGCCAGCCTTGGGACAGAATTATAATGATGGCCCAGCCAGGGTCAAAGCCAAGGCCTGTTCCTGGAGAGAAACCAGAGAGGGTCCTTAACCTCCATACAGTATAAATGAAGAGAAATGACGGATGACTGGGTTCTGTGAGAGTGGGAATGGCTTGTTAGGATGGATGGATGGATGGGTGTGGACTTGGCTATCCCGCAAATGCAGGCCCCCATCTTCTGGAGCCCTTCACCCTCTGGGACCCTGACAGCTGTTGGGGAAATGCATGCCTCTGTGAAAGGCGTGGAGCAAACCTTCAACCCAAAGACAAAGCCCAGCACCTCACCCTGGGAGTAGCAGCGGGTAGAGCTGGCTGAGCGTGATGGGGTGGGGTAATTCATGGCCCAGCTTCCAGGAGCTATTTTCCCAAGGGTTCCCACCAAGGCTCTACCTTCCCTTTCTTTGCCCAGCTCCTTGGGTGCCTGGGTATCCAGTGAGTAGGGTCCAGAGCCCCAGCAGCTGCGGGTCTGCATCTCAGCTGATCCTTCCCCAGGAACCCTGCTACGGAGAGCTAGGAGTGGACTGGGAACAGGTCCCACTCTGGGGTGGGGGGTGGTTCTGAAAACAGCTTCTCTGAGCCTCATCAGATGGGGAGTATACTGTCTGAGGCCCCTGGGTGGGAAGCTTCAGAATCCACGTGTTGAGCCTCCTCTCTCCCATCTGCTTTGGATGTTCAAGGGCCGCCGGCAGGCACTGTTCCCTACTGTATATGTGGGAAGATGGGGGTGGGGAGAAGCGGCTGTAGGGGCAGCCCAGCAGAGTCCCTAATTGCCATGGTCAAAAGTTTCCAGGATGTGGGAGGCAGGACTAGGTACCCCTACTTGCATTTAAGGAGATTGTCTTAGCTGAATGGGGACTTGGGATTAGCTATCCTTTTGGAATGGTGAGGGCAGGATTCAGAATGACACAGCTAATCCACCGTTTGATTCTACACTTCTCATCCTGTTTATCCCCTGGGTTGGGGCAGGGGAGAGAGGCACCAGTATCAGTTCTGCACCTGCTGTTTGCTAAAGATGGAGCACTCTTGAGCTGTGGTCACCATCCCTTTCTAAACCTGAATTGCAGGTGTTGTTTCATCACCGGCTAAGTCTCAGATCTCCCCTTCCAGGGAAGACTCAGAATGTCCCCTCTGAAGGAGCTGCTGGGTCGCTGGGGGCAGACACAGCCTCTGTGCCAGGGTTACAGAAGTGCTGTGGTTGAACAAGACACGGAAATCAGCCTTCCTCGGGGGTCTCATCCCATTCTTCCAGGAGGAGTCCCGGGGTGGTCCCTAGAGGTGCCAAGGCATCTGGAAGTTCTGGGCCGGGAGCGGGGTGCAGTGTGTGGCCTCAAAGTTATGCAGGTGTTTCCGAGCCTGGTGAAGAAGGGGTGGGGCAGTGGGGTGCAGAGCCATGTAGGGCGCAGCAGCTGCCAGACCCCCCCCTTCCACCCTTCCTCTGCACCTAGCACCCACCCCAGAAAAGCAGCCACTCTCAATACTTACGAGAGACCCCCATCCCCAATCCTATGGAGGACATCAGAACTATTTTGTCTATGTTAAGCATCTTGTTCAAAATAGCAGGCCTAAGAAAGTCAGAGGTGCAGCAGGTTAAACCAAGACTTGGGACCGCTGCATCCCATATGAGCGTACTGGGGTGAGTCTAGGCTGCTCTGCTTCTGACCTAGCTTCCTGCGAGTGCATTCTAAGGCAGCAGATGATGACTCAGGCTTGGACCCCTGGGAGACAGATGGAGCTCCTGCCTCCTGGCTGTGGCAGACATTTGGGGAGTGAACCAGCAGATGGAGGATCTCTCTCTATCTCTCTGTCCCTTTACCTTTCAAGTAGGTGAAAGTAAGTATTTTTTTAAGATTTATTTTTTTGAAAGGTAGAGACAGAAGGAGAGAGAGAGATCTTCCATCTGCTGGTTCACTCCCCAAATGGCCACAACAGCCAAGAATGGGCCAGGTCAAAGCCAGGAGCCAGGATCTTCCTCCGGGTCTCCCATGCGGTGCAGGAGCCCAAGCACTTGGGCCATTCACCACTGCTTTCCCAGGCCACACCAGAGAGCTGGATCAGAAGTGGAGCAGCCAGGACTCAAACTGGTGCCCACATGGGATGCCAGCATTGCAGGCGGAGGCTTAACCTTCTATGCCACAGCGCCAGCCCTGAAAATAAGTATTTTAAAACAAAAGCAAAACAAATAGCCAAAAAAAAAAAAAAAACAAAAACACACAAAATAATAGGCCAAAGGTGGTAAACCTGGGAGTGTTTCATCCGGAACAAAATGTCCAAGGGAAGAAGCCTGCCAGGCCACAAATTGATGAGTGGAAGAGAGGCTCACTGTCCCACAGGCCCAGGGGTTAGAAACAGGCTGGGAGTTACCAGGAACAAACCTCCTCAGGCTCAGCCCAACAATTTTGTTCCAACAGAACCGTCCAAAAGGCAAAGTATGGCTCTGGGGGGACACGAGGTGTTGGTACCTGAGCGACCCTCTGTTTGCTGAATTGCGGAGACTTGGCCTGATAAGGTTCAGGGCACAGGGCATGGGGAGCAGGCTCTCGCTCACTCCTCGTGGGAACAAGAGCTGAGCAAGGGAAGCTGGCGGTCCTGATAATGACACCAGGTGGGTGGCACCCGTGTAGGCGAAGCCGGACGCTGGAAAGCACTCTGTAAACAAAGCTCAAAGAGTGCGCAACCGTGGGCCCCTGCGGCCGGCCGCTGTGCACAGGAAGGACTGGGTGGGAGGCAGGGAGGGGCTGCAGCCGCCCTGCACTGGGAAGATGGGCCAGGCCGGGGAAGGCGGGGCTCGCCAATGCACTGCGTGCAGACAGTGCAGGTGGAGAA